ATCGGACAGATTATCTCACCGAGTGGGTTATTAAACCACAAGTGTAACCAATGGTTTATCATCCACGAGGTGGAATAAAGCGTCACTCAAACGAGTTGAATACAACATTTTATTCTTCGAATTAGACTCAATAAGGCTAAACTTGCTTTAAATCTGTTAAAAATAATGTGACGTTTCGTATTAAGAAATGCATAACAGTTGTCAAAATTTCCTTACACGAGAGAAAAACCGTAAATTTTGACAGTGTCGAAGAATAAACTTTTTTTTCCTCTGTAATCCGGGGACATATTTTAGAAGCCGAATTAAAAAAATTGTTTGCAATTACATTTACTTAATTCGTTACGTGATTGGTTGAATTTTGATGAATAACCAATCAGATTTCAGGATTTTGAAGTTAATCGCGATTAATTTAATTTTGACTTTATTCACTTTCTGTAAACCACTCTACATCTTGTTTTTTAACAAAATCTGGAACAACTGCATAAATTTGAATTTACAAAAAAATTCTTGTTATAAAAAAGTTTTATTCTTTGACACTGTCAAAATTTACGGTTTTTCTCCCGTGTAAGGAAGTTTTGACAACTGTTTGGCATTTCTCAATACAAAACGTCAAATTATTTTTAACAGATTTAAAGCAAGTTTAAGTCTTGTTGACTCTAATTCGAAGAATATAAAATGTTGTATTCCACTCGTTTGAGTGTAAATCGGACGCTTTATTCCACCTCGTGGATGGTAAACCACTCGTTAGACTCGTGGTTTAAAAATCCACTCGGTCAAATAAAGAGTCCGATTTACACTCAAACCTGTCGAATAAATAACTATTAAGACATTTTTTAGGAGTGAATTATTTTATATCAAAAAACTATACTTGTGTTGTGTTTTATCTCATGGAGTGTTATCTTGATTATGATGCTTAATTATCTATTATTTTATCAGAAATCAGAGAGGTTGAATAATAGCAGTTACAAAAGCAACTCGATCGATTTTTACATGAATTTATGATCTCTTGTAATTGTAATTAGGAAAAACATATGGCTATAATAAATGGTAAAACATGATAAAACATAAAAAATAATAAAAGTAATAGCATGAAATTATAACAAACGGATAAGCGAACAGAAAATTATAAAAATTGACAATAATTAGTCATCAAAAAATAATAAGTAGGTACATACACCAGATCATTATTATTATTGTTCCGGTACTAGAAACTAGAAAAGGAGGTGTGTCATTTATACCAAATTTTGCCAAATAAATATTTTCAACTTGGGTAAATAAATTCGGAGAAAAATCAACAAACTCGAAATATGTACTCACAATCAACTCTTGCCAAAAAATAACAAAGCACACTTTGATCGCCCACTCTTAACTTGCACACTGGCAGAAATAATCTCATCGCTAACTAGATTTGCCATCCTTTTTACAAGGGTGGTTTAAAGGTTGGCTCACTTTCAAATAATTACCAATTTTGATAAAATTTTGAAAATTTTAGTGCAGTTTATTGATCAGTTTTCATAAGTTCTTAAAGTAGAGTTAGAAAATTTGTGTTTTTTGTAGAAATATTTTCGGTTTTTGTGAATTGAGTGACCTTTTGAGGGATGCTGTCGGGGGCGGCGACCATGCGCATTTCGGCGGAAAATCCCAACAAACGTCAATCAGTCGTTTTAATTTACGACTTTTGAAATAATAAACTCGACTAAATTTAATTAACCAATTTTTTATCGTGAAAAGGGGTGAAATTGAGTTTCCCGGATCCGCAGGTGTGGTTTTTTGTCACTACATACAATGATCCAATTCACGTCTAAATTCGTATTCATTCAGGATTAATTGAGAGTAATTCGTTCTGGCGTATTATTCAATTAAATTAAATGGATGCATGAGAAATTTCACTTGAAAGACTTAACCCGCATCAGTGGTCGTCTTAATCAAGCGAAAAATTTTATTCATGTGGGAAGTACAGGAGATCGATAAGAGCTAATGTGTCAGGGGATGCGAATGGGAAACAAACAGATGGGAATTGAAGGATTAGGGAAAGTGAGGGAATTATTTACAAGTCAAATTATTTTATTGCTTCTTTGGTTATTGATATAAAAAAACGAATTATTAACTAATTTTTTTAATAATGGTTGTTCGTTATATTTATCCTATAAGTTCTTAGACAATTTTCTTCTTCGCTGAACTTTATTTCAATTAAGTATCATTAATTCTATCGATTTACTTTATTATTCGTGTAACAGTTTTATCGGAAAAAGAATGAAAATTACCACCAGAAAATATCGTTTATTTTGTACTCAATGTTAAAGAGTGCTTTTATCAAATAATTTTAGTAGATAAAATCGTCTTTTATCGTCTATTGAAATAAAGTAATTTTTATCTACTTTTTGTATTCAAAAAATTTTGATAGGTGAGTACAAAATAAAACGAAATATTATACACAAAGATAATAGTATATTAAAGTACAAGTTGCAAGCACAGATTTGAAATTGCGAAACGAGCCGCGTAGCGGCGAGTTGAGGAACAAATGAGTGCTTGAAGAATAACCTTCTGCAACAAGTGCTTTATACTATTTTGCCGCTTTATATCATTTTATAAATTAAAAAACGAAAATTTTAATTATTTTTTTTGTAGAGAATTTTACGACGGTTGGCGACATTTATGTGGAATAATTTTAGGCGGCTGTAAAACATAAAAATAATTCTTATATTTTCACATTTGGAAATGAATTGTAAAGAAAGTTCGTCAGTAAAATTAAATTAACGCTAACGACTTATTCCAGTACTCAAATAAGTCATTTGGCTGCTGGAAAAAACTTATTCTAACACCGAAATAGAAAAAGATTGTTTTTCTACTCGTGAAAAAAGTCCACTCGTGACTTCGTCACTCGTAAACTTAACCATTTCACTCGTAGATAAACAATTTCTTTATCGTCTTGTATAATAAATAACTATTACCGTTTACCTTTTTTTATGTAATATGTGTTATTTTTTTTCTGTTTTGCCTAGTGTATTTTTTGTTTTAAATGTAGGTGACAATTTTCTGAATTTTCGATGGCAAATATGAAAAAATTTTGAAAAAAACGTTACACATAATTATAAAAGTCAGTTCGAATTGAATGTTCCAATCTTTAAATTATTTTTTTTATATACAGGGTGATTCAAAAGTATCGGACCATCTCTTGACATCCAACTAACTTAAAAGTTATTATGACAAAAAATTCTTTGAGCTTTTTTTCATTAAATTTAGCTTAAGTTAAGTTTTTGGTGGTTCAAATAATGTATTCTTAAATTTAGGTAGCGGAAACGGCAGATCTTCCAACTCTGTTGAAAAAATCACTAATTTTTGTCCTATTGTGTACAAAACATTTAACAAACTAAAGTCGCGGTCAATTCATAGTGGCCATTTAATTTATCTCAAAGTTGGCAGCACTTAGCCCGCCACTTCTATTGTGTGGGTTTTGTCAAAGTTGGTCGAAGAAATGTCAATAATTGTGACAGGCGCAATAGATTTTATATGTGAAATATTCTAACCCGACTTTTTTAGAATTGTCATTTTTGATAGCTGTCACTAAAAAAAAAACAACTGGATGTTTAACGTCGGATTTACACAACTCAATTTTTATAAATTTACACAGGGAAGTGGCCACTATGAATTGACCGCCACTTTAGCAAATTCAACAATAAATTAAATTCGACAGCATCTAAAACAAAAGAATTAAGATGCCTACATGACAATATTGAACTTGACACTTGTTTTCTCTAAAAAAAAGTTGAAAGCTGAAATTTTCTATCACCATTCGAGAGTTGGCCCGGCCTTTTTGAATCACCCTGTATATAAAAACAGCATATAAAACGCAAAACAGAAAAATCGTATAAAACACTTATTACAGAAAGCTTTTCAAGCAATTGTTTTTTTCTCGACTCTTTTCCGAATTTCAAACTTTGCTTCAATGGATGTCTTCTGTAACTCTAATATACTATTTTATAAATTCTTTCGTCTATGTGTTAAAACTTGAGTATGTACAGCTGGGGAAAAAAGTATTGTCAAGTTTGAAAAGATTATCGTTCATTACAATGGTAACTGTTTTTTTTTTCATAAATTGACATTTAGAACTCTCTGAAAATATAATTTAAAAAAAAAAATAAAAAATAATTTAAATAAATCCGTTTGATTAGCAATTATCATTCAACCATACGGGTGGTTTTTACAACCATCAAATTACTCTCAAAATTGCAATTTTAATATTAATTTTTTATTAAATACATAAGATAATTTTGTGTTTTATTAGTAAGAGACGTTAAAACATACATCTAGATTCTAGAATATTAAAAAATAAAATTTTAAGACCAATAAAATATAGAGATTTTCTAAGGGAGTAAAGTTGGCAACAGCTCAACAACAAACGTTTCAAATTATTGAGTGCATGCACAAGGTGTTTCCAAATCTACTGCAACGTTGCGAATTTGTGTTGTCGTTAAATATTCATATTTTTAAAACCAGGCGGTCTAGGAAAATTAAAAAAGCATATCTGGACTTTTATTAACGTTTTTATCACTTAGTTCGATTTTTTTGAATCACCATGTATATTGTTGTCTGGGGAGGAAAAGATAAAAAACAAATAATTCAAACAAGCAATTTTTTGTTTGTTGGCACTAAATTGTAACACCTGTCATTTGTTTCAGACGAATTTATGAAGAAACCCGACCTTGAAGGTAAGTTTGGCTTATAAATTGTTACTCAAACAATAAATATTTTTGTCTAAAGTACATACAATGTGAAGGTGAAGCAATGGGTTTTTTTTCTATAGCGAGATATTTTAGAAGAGAATTTGTTTTGATCTCGAGATTATGACACAGGTGTGTTATCGTGTTATCAATTATAATTTTTTTTATAATAAATAATAAGTGGTGATGGTGCAATTTTTCCCCATTTTTCTCAGTTTCCTCTCGTTGAGGGGGGAAAAAATCTTTACCGACGCCTCTGTCACAGCGCATGCCCTTACAATCACACCATATGTACGCCCATGTTTCTTCGTCACTCTGTACATGCGACACTAGTGCTAGAATCGCCTCCGGCATTTTCACCCGTCTGGATTCACACTCATTCAAGTGTTCAACAGAGTTTATTCGCGTAACAGACGCCTTCTTAAAAGGGTGCGTAAGTTTAATTCAAAAAAAAAAATAATAATAAATAAATCAAAACACATCGAACATGGCCAAAATCGAAGCGCGATTATTTTTATTCTTAGTCTTTTTTACAGTCATTCGTATTAACGAAAGTGCCGAAATGGTCGACGCACATCTTGGAAAGAAATATAAGCTAGCTTCTAGCGAAAATTTCGACGAATTCATGAAGGCTTTAGGTGAGGTTTTTTTGCATGTCGGCAACGTTTATAAAATTTAAATTTAGTGTGTTTGTGTGGTGAATGAAGAGGCGTCAATGACGGCGAAATTTACGCATTTTATTATTTTTACTTATTTGTGTATTTATTTGAAGTTGTGTGCGTGACGGTTATGGTCGTTAATGAGGTTCAATTGGTATATTGTCAAGTGGGACAGACACGGAATGAATTGCGTGAGGGGTCGTTTTAGAAATTTAATTCCAGAGAGTTGGGTAAAAATGATTGTATTAATGATACACTGAAAGTTTTTTTTCTAATGGCCAACTTAGGAAACAAATTGTAATTGAAGTAAATTTCCTAAGGGAAGAATTGCTCAATTTTTAATGAATCAAACATTAATTACAAAATAAATCGGTCGAAGTTGGACCAAAGGTTATGATTTGAATTCAAACAGTGTTCGAAATTATTGAAAATCTTATACAGGGTTATTCATAAATATGAAGCAATATTTGAACCTCAAAAATGACCCATAAAATGATGTTAACTTAAATAATAACTCGTGTCCTATCTCTACTGATAAGAATTTTACAGCCCTCGGAATGTGGGTATGGAAATTTGATTTTTTTGTAGTAACTTTGAAACTATTTGACCAAATATTATAAAATTTAACATACTCTTTGAACTGGTAATCACGAAAACCGGATACATCCACTCAATTTCCGGTTCCAGCAGTTGCGGGTCACATTTTCTGTATTTTTCCATTTTAACACCAATTTTTTATTGCCCAAATAGATAGAATAATCAATTTCGAATAAAAAACGCATAATCTTTAATACCCCGAAATGGACCGTTTCAAAGATATTTTAATTTAAACTGAGGACTGCACAACGCTGAAATCAAAAAATAGGGATTTTGAATAAGTGGTATCCACGGCAACCAATGACCATGGTCACAAAAATCCCTACCAGGCATCTGTTAACTTTGACTTTTTGTGAATTTTTTATAAATTAAATTCTACGAGATCGATTTGGACTTATTGTAGATTACGTTTATTTTTTAAACTCTTTTATTAAATATTTTCAATTAATCGCCCAAGAATCGTCCAATGTCAAAGTTGACAGATGCCTGACAGCGATTTGTGGGACCATGGTCATTTGTTGCCGTGGATATCATTTATTCAAAATCCTTATTTTTTGATTTCAGCGTTGTGCAGTCCTTAGTTTAAATTAAAATATCTTTGAAACGGTCCATTTTAGGGGTATTAAAGGTTATGCTTTTTTTATTCGAAATTGATTACTCTATCTATTTGGGCAATAAAAAATTGGTGTTAAGGGAACAAAAAAATGGAAAAACACAGAAAATGTGACCTGCAACTGCTGGAACCGGAAATTGAATAGATGTATCCGGTTTTCGTGATTACCAGTTTAAAGGGTATGTTGTCACAAGGAAATGTTCCAAATTTTATAATATTTGGTAAATAGTTCCAAAGTTATTACAAAAAAATCAATTTTCCATACCCACATTACGAGGGCTGTAAAATTCTTATCAGTAGAGATAGGACACGAGTTATTATTTAAATTAACATCATTTTATAGGTCATTTTTGAGGTTCAAATATTGCTTCATATTTATGAATTACCCTGTATACACATAAAAAATTGTATAAGTGTACACAATCTTGATAATTTGGGTTGTTAAGCAAAAACACTCTGTATAATAGTTGACAGAGTGGTGGGATATTTTTTTTTGTTTTTTTGATTTTTTGTCACAATGTGTTAACACCATTTTTATGATTATTTTCATTGCTCAATGTTTATTTTGTTTAAAAGTAAAATAAATATTTAATTGTGTTTAAGTCAGTTTAATTTATACTTACACATGTTTTATTCGTTATAAAAATAGGTTAATTTATAAGTATTTTCTTAATTTTTTAAACGTGTTGAATAATTTTTATTATCAATTAATTTTTGATTGTCATTTCAGTAGTGTCCCATTCTATGTATAACCCTGTTACGTCCTATCACATTTTAATCTGCATCGTCTTTCTTTTTTGTCTTTTCACAGTGGAAATTAGAAAATTACAAAAATTATACTTACATAAATTAAGAGCGAGTTTATAGGCGAATTTTAATTTTTATTAATATTATAAAATTAAACAAAGTATTTTGTTGAAATCGTCTGTAAAGTTCACAAAATACTCTGTAAAGTGTGCATAGTTTTTCAATTTTTACATAATTTAAAGATTTACGATTTCAGGAAAAACGTAAGTTATTTTTTAATCACATATTTGTGATAAAAAAATTCAACTTTGGTGCTTTGTTATCCAAATACCTAATAATAATTATCAATAAATTCATAACATTCCTTACTGGCAGATTATTGGATTTATATTTTTCTAAATACATAATACTTATCAACTATATGTAATTATTATTTTTTAATGTGTTCCTAGAATAGAAAATCAGTATAATTTTCAGTGTCAATAAATTTTAACTAGATTTGTTTTGTTTGGCAAATATTATGCGATGATTAGTTAAATTTACAATTAAAGTGGTCTGTGATTATAAAATTAAATTGATAATATTGTAAAATGTATTTCTGATTAATTGATTAAAATACTTCACAACTTTATAATAGAAAGATTTGTAGTGAGTTATGAGAGTTTAAATTTTGCACTTTGACTATTTATTTCTCTTGGAAAAATAATTTTTCAAGTTTTTTTGCTATAAGTTATTAGAAGAGGAAATATCTTAAATTATAACTCTGTATCTAAATTTTTAAAAACCCATTTTGAAGCTTTAAGTTTCTAGTTTTGCCAAATATTTTTTTTGTGCTACGGTTATCACGCAATTTTAAATAATAGCGCGAGAAAAACAAATTCTAAATTTTTATGTTTTTGTTTTTGGTCTACGGAGGTGGAGAATTTTTTTTTAGTCAAGTCAATTTATAAGCCGGATAGCATGTTTGTTTTCCTTTAATATGCTTTCTTCATATTCTCTTTACGACAATTTGTCGCTGAGATATCTGACTTTAAATGAAAAAAGATCTTTTTGTCTTTGATCATCGATATCTCAGCAACCAATGACTACACAGAGAATATAAGGGTAGTGTCAAAAACTGGAATAAATGTCTTATAAGATCCTTTTATGATTTTTTGGAAAATAAGTTTTTTCACCTTTAACATTGATTTAAAGAAAAGAGAAAAAAGTAACTTTTTGCGTTGTTTTAGTAAATCTACCGCATATTTACCAATATTGATGGGGAGACTAATGTTTTTTACAGCTCAAAGTATCCCCCACAGCTCTTCTAATTTTTAAATCGATCCGTTTTTTTTTGGACCAATTGATCAAAGTTTTGCAAAAGAATTAAAGGAACAATTGCACATATTGTTTCTGAACATCGCCTAATCTTCGCCAAGATGAGAAAACAATTTTTTTTCGCTTTTTTACAATTTTGCATTAGTTAAATTTGAAAAAAAAAATTCGAAAAAAAATTCAAACAAATATTTTTGATTTTTTTTTTTCAAAAATTAATCAGTATTGTTTGTTGAATTTTTTTACAAATTTAAAAAAATTTAAAACATTGTTTTGATTTTTTTTCACAAATTAAGCAGTATTGTTTCTTAAATGTTTTTACAAATTTTCAAAAAAATCAAAAAACAGCTTTTGTTCAATTTTTTTATTTTTAGAAAATAACTAATGCAAAATTGTAGAGAAAGTCGAAAAAAAATGTTTTTCTTATTTTGATGAAGATTAGAGAATGTTCAGAAACAATGGGTAGTATGAATAAAAAGTAGCAAAAGTTTTTGCTATAGTTTTGTCTCTTTCTTTCCTATAAAATCAAAGTTACGTCTATCTGTTACTATTACAAGTAGAAGCGTTTACTTAACTTTATTCATACGGCCCCAATTTTTGCAATTGTTCCCTTAATTCTTTTGAAATCGGTCCGAGAAAACGGTTCAATGGATCGATTTCAAAACTTAGGAGGCTGCAACACCTAAAAACTTTAGTTTCTCCATCAATATTAGTGAATACATGGTGTTCCTTAAATTTTTTGGAGTAGTTTATTTTTTCCATGTTCCTGGTGTCTTATCTTACTTGAAACTTTGCTCTGGGGCGCAAGTTCTGACACACCCTGTATTTCCAATGTGAAAATTAGAAAATTTTACATAAATCATCCATTTAAGGGCGATTTTATAGAAACCGAATTTTGATTTTAATTAATTTTATAAAACTAAAGAAAGTATTTTGCTGAAATCGTCCGTAAAGTTGACAAAATAGTCTGTAAAGTGTGCATGTTGATAATGTTGGTTGCGGAAAAGCAATCCATAAAAAAGTGTGCTATAACCCGTTTGTTAAAAATAAAAAAAAAAATTCTTACAATTTCTTGAAATTTTTAATTTTCCAAATTAGGTATATACCTAGTACATATTTATTTAATTTAGGTCCACTAACAGTAAAATTTTGCAGTAAATGTATCTACACATTTTTTATCGATAAATTTTATGTCGTGGAAAAATTCAAAGTAGTGTTAACGGCCTGAAGAATTTCAGTATCTCTATTACATATTTTTGTACCATGTCACAATAACAAACAAAAAATCGATCACTCTACGTACCCTGCAAAAAGTTTTAAATTCTGTATTACAATATAAAATTTTCCAACATTAAAAATGACATTGGTTTTCAAATAAATATTCATTGTCTAAAATCGGGTTAATAAATAAAGCAAAAAATGACCTTGGGTCCACAAATGTAAAGTATCAATTAACTTAAGTAAAACATGTGCGTTCGCTGTTTAATTTGTGTACAGTCTCTTGTAAAAATAATGTCGAATATTTGCGTGATGTTACAGCTTCTGGAAGACATTATTTTTACAATCGACTGTACTTATTATTCGAGTATAATTTTTATAACAGTGAATCATGCAAACAACATAAACTCGTCATTATGCACAATTTATTTTACAACCCATCTGTCAACACCAAATGTTGTAAATTCATTAACGTGGAATTTTTTTTATAGCCCTATACAATTAATTTAACTGATAAGTTTCTATTTACCACTTGATTGGAGAATTATAAAATAAAAGTGATATAAACCTTGTAACGTCAGTGACCCCGACCCTCAAAAACGGTACCTAATCCGTCAAAATAATAAAAAGACCTTTGAACTCCCTGTGTCTTAATCTCAAAGACGATTAAGTGATTCACCTTTAATCTTTGGAGGCAGAAAACGCCCATTTCCAGCTACCAACCACATTTATCGTCCCGATCATAGTCCACTGGACTTTTTTACGATCCGTTCACAATATAAAACCTCGAGGCGACCGATAACCGTTTCAGTTAAGCTCGAACTTTATTGGCTGTGATACTGATTCGTTCCGTTTTCAAAAATCAATCAAAATGGCACTCAGTGGTGTTTTCGGTAAAAAGTACAAATTGGAAAAGAGTGAAAAGTTTGATGAGTACATGAAAGCTCTCGGTGATTATTTGAACAGTGAAAGAACGAGGAAAAAATGTGTTTTTTTCAGGTGTGGGTCTGGTTACTCGTAAAGTGGGCAATGCCGTTTCCCCGGTGGTCGAATTAACGAAAAACGACGATGAATACACTCTGAGTTCGTCATCGACTTTCAAAAACGTCGTTTTGAAGTTTAAACCGGGAGTTGAGTTCGATCAAGACACCCCTGATGGGCGAAAAGTCAAAGCGACCATCACCGTCGATGGGAATACTTTACACGAAGTCCAGAAGGACCCCAACAGTGGAAAAGAAACGGTCATTGATAGGACCTTCACCGATGATGAAGTCAAAATGGTAGGTTTTGCGGTTTTTTGAGTTTTTTTTCTAACTGTTTTTTTTTTTTCAGGTGATGTCAGTCGATAACATCACAGCTACCAGAATTTACAAGATTCAAGCCTAATTATTTGTGTTATTTCTGAACTGATTACTTTAGTTTCTTGTTTTCGTATTCACTTGTATAAGTAAATAATATCGTATCGAAGTAAACTGTGTTTTATTTTCATGTTCTTGATAATGAAAACATTGAGTGTGAATCCGGTTTGTGTAAATATTTTGGTGTTAAGTAATGGAAAAGTAATAATCATCACATTTGAGTAGTAAAAAACCGAAGAGTTATAATTTTTAAAATCTGATTTTAATCACCACCGGAAGAGCGCAATGCCATCATTTGTCCGAATAATTACGGAATTGTTTCAATTTTTAACCAAAAAAAACTTACGTGGTTTTTGCACTGACGTCACTGGTCAAATTCAAGTATCAAAAACGAGAAAAATATGCACGATTGTGTCTTAAATATAAACTATGCATCCCTTCCAATTATTTTGAATCCAACTCAAATCATTACTGCAAATATTTTCGTCTAAACAAATATCAGGTGACAATTTTTTGTTTCATTCATATTTGCACAATTAGTCATAGTGCACCTGTGAGCTTTTAAGTCATTATTAAAAATTAATTGTTTGAGCAACATATGAATATGTGTTAATTACAAACATGTGATTTTTGTAAAGTTTGTTGACTTGTTTTATAATCAGTGAGAGACATAAAATACGCAATTTAATATAATTATGATATGCTATCTTATTATGGATTGCACTTATCATAATTTGATTAGAGCTGAGATTAAATCAGCTAAAAATTCTAAGTTTGTGGGAAAATCATGTCTGAACATGACCCAACCGAAATCGGTAAGAAAAATATTAGTTTTTGGGAAGTGGGTAGTTATTATTCACAATCACTATAGTAATATGACGATTCCTAACCTTCGGAGGTCGGGAAATTTGTCATTACATCCCGTGGTCAGGCAGTAAATTTATCACCAAGGTGACGAGCCCATCAAATGTCAAAAACTCAATTTGTTTGCATATCAACTGTCAGAAAAACGGATATTGTCATATCAATAAGAAATTACTGCCTAGGATTTAGGGATATTCGAGACTAGGTTGCCATAAATTTGGTTAGATTGATTTCTGGTGATAAAAGATATCGAAACTAGTGTCAAAAATTTAGGTTAAGTCACCCGTCAGCTTGTATGGATAACTCAATTCATAGTTGACAGCAGGTTGACAGAAAACGTTAACTAAGCATTTAAAATTACTTCTAAAAACTCTAGTTACAAACAACATGAAAAATCCTAATTTTCCTAAAAGTTCAAATCCTAGGTGGTAATTTCTTGTTGGCAAATCTGTATGTATAATTGTGAATAAAATAGTATACAAACCTCGGTGGAAGTGTCATTACCCATTGACACATTTTCCACCATGCATGTAATCTACTATTTACATTATAGGTATAAAGTGATGCTTTATTCCCTCATTTTTGACTATTAACAATTTAGTACTTTATTTCTTTAGGAATAAAATGAATGAAAAACCGATTTTTACTTTTTAAATAAACTTTTCTTGACATAAACAAACTTTTTGAGACCGATTTTTACGCTTTAAATTACAATTGAATAACAAATTATTTGGCAAAATTTTTCTTATGTTGTTATTAATTTAACTCGTTCGGTGGAAAATTTTGTATGCATCTCTGGAATAAACATCGTTAATCCCTCAAATGATTAAGTCATTACCGATATTCTTGGGATTAAAATTGTTATTTATTCTTTTGATACATAAAGTACAGTGCCGGACACGGAATTTTGGACATCAAATTTATGTCAGTTCAAAATAGGTCAATGTAAACCACGCTTCATTGTCATTATGATTGACGTTTGAAACTAAAATTTGAAAGTTTTAGTTGAAATTTATTTTTGGCGTCGATTTTCTAAAACAATAATGCCAGCAATACTTACATAAGTTCAATAAATTATTTTGATTTGTTGTCATTTTTTCTCTAACTATCGATACAAATTACAAAAAAGTGTGGTTAGTTGTCTGTTACATACATTTTTGTCAGTCGAATGACAAATCGTCCAAAATTCTGTGTCCGCCACTGTATTAAACTTTTTTTTCAAAATTAATTAGCCTTGTGACTTTATTTTGCTGTTATTACAATATATGTTAATGTTTCTGCAACTTGTCATTTCAATTATTAGGTTTTTCATTAATTTTAATCCTGTTTTTTGTTTAATTTTTCTTAACTGATTTAAAAATTTAAGTAAATTGGAAGAAAAATCAATGTTTGAAAGATAAAGACAAACCTTATATCGTGTGCTTTCAATTAAAATATTAATAGTTAAAGTGGGGCAGTCCGGTCCTGCGTTTACAATCGGGCTGCTCCAATCCTGTTGCTTTTGCACATGGTTGTATAATGTGTTGCCTATGCTGTCAATTGTATTTAATTTAAAACTGGTATTATTTGCATTGCTATCAACATTATGACTCATAATATTTACAAGACGGTTTTTGTGATCATTTAGTGAACTGATAACGCAGTATTTATCTTATTTTTTCGTGATAACACCGGCGCCATCTCCCGGCACCCCTCGTCAACACCTCCCCTAACGGTACATTCACACCGTGTTCTATCCGTCTCTGCATTAATAACGGTCAATTCGTGCGCGCGACAGAGAAACAAAACCTTCCAAGTTAAATGCCAGTGTAAATCAAGCAAGTAGTGAAAATAGTTGACGTTCAATGTTTGTTGTGTTCGCGTTACGTCCCTGTTCTGTCAAAAAATTCGCGAAAAGTGGTGAAAATAATGCGTGAGTGTCGTGTGTGGTGCCCCATGTAGGTTAAGTCATCGTCGAACTACCCCTCAAAGGTGCGTATTTCACTTAGAAAATCAATGTTGCGAGACAACCAACCCCCCGGTCACCACGTTGATCCACTGACAAGTGTGACGTGCCGTCGAAGAATCGCAAGAATTTTTATTACGGTGCATATTTGACCTTGACTCCAGCTGATTTCTGGTTTCTTCCTTGTAAACGAGTCGTTTTGTTGTATTTTTTTCCTCCTCTTTGCACGGAAATAAGAGAGAAAGTGATGCGGTGCAGGGAAAACAATTGAATTATTTTGACAGATCGAGGGAAAATTCGGCCGTTTCCTAGTTGGCCAATCTATTGTGACGAAGCGAAAGGTTTTTGGCACGGTTTTAGATCTGGGATTATTTTTAATTTGGTTGTGTTGGCAATGCTGCGGTAATTGATTGGGTTAGGGTAGGTTCACACCCTCGTGACTGTCAAATTGTTTGCGAAAGTTCACACTTGGATCGTGATGGCTTGGATTAGAATGGCGGTAAAACAATTGCCAATATGCCAGGGTTTTTGCTATCAAATTTGACATTACGATGGAATTTTATCGATTTATTTATTTCATTTTTTTTTAGTTAATTAATGCAAATTGATGATAATGTCCCGAAAATGTTCATAAACAAACTTGTAAATATTGACATGTTTTGACTTTCAGCAATCCCGGAATTAGTCATAAATTTTCTTGTAAAAAATCGAACTGTTAAACCGGCTTTTGCTGTAATTTAATACATTTGTTATTAGGTCAATGTTTTTTTATCGTATCAGACTGCAATAATTATTATGTACTATGAACTTGTATGCTTAATATGTTTTAGTAATTACGATTTTTTAATTAATGTTTGTAACAATTGAACATTTGTTTCAAGGATAAAAAGTGACAAGTGACGTTTCTAGGTTTGTTTATATGCTAGAAACATCCAAATTGGGTCACTGGGAAATCGACACAAATTATTGAGTTCTTTTTTAATCTTCAATTAAAATTGAGCAAAATATAAATAATTTTGGAATAAAAGCTCCAAATCTAAAAAAGCAACAGAATTTACGAGTGTCTTATTTTATTTTTTATTCTTCATTCCTCTAAGTGCATTTTATTTTAAATTTGTTTTATCTGATTTTTACATAATTTAAGCCTTTATACAATTCATTTTCACTTTTATCTGTTTCCGTTTGCAGAGCCTGTTATCTTGTATCTCTGTGTACTTTCACACCTTTTTCATTTACTGATAACGATTCGACGCAAATATTTTACGTTTTATGGTCGTAACAGCTATTGTTTTTCTACTTTGTTTCCATAAATAAATAAAGCATCACCTTCTAATACAGGGTGATTTAACTAGTTGTGCAGAGGTGATAGTAGAGCACAAAAGATGCAAAAATAACTCAACTTACTTTATGCGAATGTTAATGTTTCTGAGATATTGAGGGTTTTAATCTTTGAATAAATTAAAAATTGCTGCGCAGTCTTAAACTTCATCAAGTTAGTGTTTCAATATCTGTTCTATTGTTTAGAAAAAATGTGTTACGATTAACAAAAACAGCCACAGAAAAAGTTACTTTATAGTAAAAAAAAATAATAAAAAGATAAAAATATTATCGTACTCGTAGAAGATAACACCGAATTTCATTACCTCAAATTCTCTCAAATTCACTTCTTTTAGCTCAGAAATTATAAACACCCAAGGCAAGTTGAGTTATTTTGAAAATTTGTGCACAACTATTAAAATCACCATGCATATAAAGGTCTAGAATTGTGTAAAACCTGAAATAATACGGTTAAAAAAATGAGAAAAACAATTATAAAAATTTATGTTGGCAGTGATTTTAAAAATTAACATGCTTATTTTGGAAGTGTTAATTTTAACTAATCACCCTTTATAATTTTTTTCTCAATCTCGTTTTTTTTTCAAAATACATATTCTTTGTGACATTTTTACACTCCCGATTTTTTGCAACCTACGATCACGTTTTATTTTGAACTGACACTTTAAAAAAAATATTTTTATAGTTATAAGTAGTCTTTCTTTAAACTATATTTTATTAACTTTTATTTTTTTTCAACGTTGATAATTTTTTTAAACAATAATTTTTAGTAATAGTAGCACAATGCACATGTCTGTACCAAGAAAATTTTTATCTTCCAAATCATGAAAAAAAAATTTGGGTTTCTATTTAAAATTACAATGTTGAATACAAGGTGATTCTTTTAGGGCCTATATTAGAAACTTTTCAACTTCTAATGCAGATAGGAATTTGAAATTTTGTACACAACCCAAATCAACCAGTCTGTGTACAACTAAATTATTGTCAAAATGACTGAACTTTCGGAACTACGAGAAACTGGCGCCAACTTTGAAATTTTAAATGGTATCCACTTATTTTTATTGTATTTTTGAATTCTCCTCGTTAAAGTAAGTGAAATGTACCTAGTTGTTAGTACTTATCTGTCATAGTTTTTAACATATGTCAATTTTTTGGTCAAAATTTTCACTAGCAGGGCTTCATTCAAAATATTACAGCTCTTGAACCCTTTGCGATAAGTGAATATTTTTTTTCATTCGATAACCAAAGGTTCGAAAAGTTTTCTAGAATTTCCAAAATTGTCGACTGTCAAATTGCAAGGCTAGTATGATTTTTTGAAAATGATCATTAACAAACAGCTTTAACTCAGTTTTTTCAAATGAAATGACTCTATTTTCTCAACGGCAATCAAAACTAGATCAATTTGTAGAAGGACTTTTATCAACATGTCCTATACCTATCTCTTATAGTTTTTGAAATAATCACAAAAAACATGTTATTGTTTTTATTTTTATAGTTAATCACGTAGGCTTTGGAAAAATACAATAAAGATATACCATAATTAATACAGATGTTCGATATGTTTACCATTTTCAAACAGTCCAAAACTCGATGGTGAACTGAGAGTGGCTTCCATTATTTCATTTGGATGAAGATTATTAAATGCCGCCTCAATCCTTGCCTCAATTCTTAGTAATTCCGGATGGGTGTTGTGTAGACTAATAAATCTTTAATACGTCTTGATCTTTTTCCAAAGCCTACGTGGATTGACTATAAAAATAAAAAAAACAAAAACGTCTTTTTCGCGATTATTTCAGAAACTGTAAGAGATGGGTAGGTATAGGACATGTTGATAAAAGTCCTTCTACAAATCGATATACTTTCTATTGCCGTTGAGATAATAGGGTCATTTTATTTGAAACAAGTAAGTTATAGCTATTTGTTAAATATCATTTTCAAATAATCATATAAGCTGTGCAATTTGACAGTTGACAATTTTGAAAATTTTAGGAAACTCTTCGAACCTTTGGTTATCGACTGCAAGAAAAATTATTTACTTATCGCAAACGGTTCATAAGCTGTCATGTTTTTAATAAACCTCTGCAAATGAAAATTTTGAGCAAAAAAATTGACATATGTCAAAAAATATGACAGATAAGTACTAAGAACTAGGTACATTTTACTCAGTTTGGAGAGGAGAATTCAAAAATGCAATAAAAATAAGTGGTTACCATTTAAAATTTTAAAGTTGGCACCAATTTCTTGTAGTTCCGGAAGTTCGACCATTTTGAAAATAATTTAATTAAACTTAGACTGGTTGATTTGAGTTGTGTGCAAAATTTCAAATTTCTATCTAAATTAGAAGTTAAAAAGTTTCTAATATAGGCCCTAAAAGAATCACCTTGTATAGTCCAAAATACACTATGACATTTAGAAAAAAATCTAAATTAATCAGGTAACACTACATTAGAAATCATTTAATTATTTTTTTTTATTTTTGAAATCGGGACAAAAATTAAAATTTTACAGTGCCTGCCGTTTTTTAAAAATCATCGTATATAATATTATAGTTTTACTTTGTAGACACTACATAATTCAAAAAAATTGTTATACATTTATTATAATTGTCATTATTAGTCTAAATATAAGATAGTTGAAACAATACTTGCATTATTCTTGATTTATGTTATTTTAATGAATTTGTGCAAGATACAGATAAGAATTTTTATGGCTTCACGAATCATTACATTCCGATTATACCACTTTCGGTATTTTTTCCCGTTAATCATTGTTTTAACGACCTTCCCAGTAATGCACATTTGGAAAGGAAATGACAAATTATGTAACATTCATCACAGAACCGTAGAAGGGCATTTTAAAATTTTTCACGTGCAATTTTCACTTTCCCTGTTCGACTTTCACCATTCGAGGAAAAACTAGACCGACGTTTGTTACTATCATCCTGTTTGCTTTCAGATAAGACGTCCACAATGTTCAACTTTATCAAGAAGGCGGGGACCGGCGTGACCTCGGATAAGGACGAGAAAGAAAAACGGAAACGAGACAAAAAGGACCGGAAGGATAAACAAAAAAGGGAACGTGCAAGCATGTCCGCTGAAGAACTGTTAAGATTGGATGAGGTATTAAATATACAGGGTGTTTTCGAATTTTTTTTTTATTTGTCTATAGGTGCGACGCTCGTTGAAAATCCGAGGACGACGTAAAGAAAAAGAGAAACTTCCTTCAGGAATCACTGCCGATTATACAGCCGATTTTTTAGCAAGTCTGGATAGACAAGATTCGCCGGCATCACCCTCACATATGAATCACCATCTCCAGGAGGGCCACACCCAATCCGACAGTAGTGAAACGAGTCTAAATTCCCTAAACAACCCTCAAAATAATAAAGTGTTACCACCTCTACCTCCCAAACCCCCTAAAAGAGGCATCCTTAAAACTCCTCGAGTGAGCGTCACCCAAGACAACGGCCATGACAGTTTAGTTCGTAACACTATCCAAAATGAGCTAATTACATATCAAAACGTCCCGAACGGTATCAACGGTAAAAATCTCGGTTCGGAACTCTTAGTGATAACATCGACTTCACCTAGTGCCGATAGTTTAACCGATACGACGAATTCTTCATTTGCCACTCCACCGTTTTCATTGAGTCCTGTTGGTGAATCGCAGGGTTTTCATCGATGGTCGCGTACGTCAAATTTCGACGATGTGGAATTACCGTTACCGGGAATTGTGCCGTTAACGTTACCGAAACCGCGAACGTTGACAATACAAAGACAGAAACCGCCACGGAACGATTTCGGATTTTCATTGCGTCGTGCAATGGTGTTAGAACGTGTAGTGAACGGTAACGGTAACGGTGACGGAACGTTGTCAATGAAAGCGGTGATTTTTGCCGAACCGGGAGCAATGGTGCAGCATAATAACGAGACAGGTTTGTTACCGGGGGATAAATTGTTGGAAGTGAATGGTTTTCCAGTGGAGGATAAGACAAGAGAGGAGATTATTGATAAAATTAAGGCGTCCGGGGAGAGTGTCACATTAAAGGTGAGTTGAAGGTCCTCGCTTCTTTGTCGCTCGTGCTGTAAAACTAAAATATTATTTAATGAAAAAAACGGTGAATTTTTTTAAAATAAAGAATCTTTTTCTTAGTAAAGTATTTAGTATGTGTTTGATTTTGAACAATAAATTATGATTTTCCATATGTACAGGGTGTGTTGATTAAAAAAAAAATTGCTAGTACAAGCGATAGACTTTAATATTGTTCAAAATTTTTAGCGTATGACAGTGAGACCCTAAAAACCAAATTTGGAAAAAAAAAGTTTAAACAATTAGGATTTTTTCTGTACTACATAAATTTTTCTAATGGTACAGTTGGAGACAAAATAGTTTGGTTGTAACTTGACACTTTAATGTAATTCAAGCTTTAACGTTAAAATGAACGACAATTTCAAATTATTGACACCTATTATATTTTCCTGTCAAAAATATGTACATAACAACTATGATTGACAGTAGCTAAAAATAAGGTTAACAGTCCTAAAGCATGCTTTACAATTTAATGTCACTCAAGTGACATTGACGACTAAAGTATTTTGTCTCCAACTGTAATTGTGAAAATTGAATAATGTAATAGTTGATAAATTTTGAGTAATTAACATTTTAATATTGAAAATTGGGAATTCTGGTAATTTATGGTTAAGTTTGGGATGACGTGCTGACAATAGAGCGGAGGCTTCACAATAGAGCCCGGGTACGTCATAAATGTCATTGTGGACCTTTTTTCTTTTATCAAGAAATTCTGGCCTGATTAATTAGGTACCGCAAACTCTCCCATAAATTATTCCAACTTTTAGATTTTCAATATTGAAATGTTAATTATCCAAAATCTATCAACTTTATCATTATTTACTACAGAAAAAAATAAAAGAATTTATTCATGTAGAAAAAATATGGATTTTTTTTTTCAAATTTAATTTTTACGGTCTCACTGCCATACGCTAAAAATTTTGTACAATATCAAACATCAAATTAAAGTGTATTTAATCCTTTGTCCTTTACACTAACAAAATTCTTCTTTAATCAATTAGAAATATTTATTTTTGCGCCGGCCCTAAAACTTGGGACACCCTGTACTTTTTTTTTTTTTAAATAAACCTTTTCTTAGTTTTACGCTTTTTTTCAACTTTGAGTTAGATATTTAGTAATAATTGGAAAATTTAGAAACATTGGCTGGCTTTTTTATAATAAAACTTAAAACTTGTAATCTAACAAAAAAATCAACATTTTGAGTTTTGAATTTATAAAAAAAACATCAAATGACTTTTTAAAGCCATTACTTTTTAGGTGGGTGTATTTATTAAAAAAGTAAAAATTCAAATGCTCAAACCAAACAACATAGTTTTGTTATGTGTGTGAAGGATTTTATTTCCTAAAGCAGTACAATTATTAGAAAGTAAAAATAAAGAAAAACTTGAATATTTTACTACTTATACCAATTATTAAATTGAAATTTATTATGTAAATAGTAATTATAATGTGTAAATAGCAAACCTCAGCTGTCATTTCACTTAACTTGGGCGTTATTATACAGGGTGTTTCACATAATTTTACGAGGCCTGCGCCTGTAAGATGCAATCAATAATACATATTCCGACACGAACTCGATTACAAATTATTAAAAATTGGATAATCTTCTCTAATTTATTCACCTTTTAAAAAATTACAATGTTTTTAGTTCGTTAATGATTAAAATAGATTAACTAGAATCATATTCATGCCGTCTCTTGATAGAACAAATGATAATTGTTAATTAGTTTCACAACTACTGTCAAGGGTTTCCAAAAATTAACTTTTAAATGTGTATTTTTTGTATCTAGTGTTTTATTATATAATAAATATAAAATAATATAATATAATTTTGTATATTTGAGTGCGTACATTAGGCATAAGTCTCGTAAAGTTGTGTGAAACACCCTGTATTTTAATTTTTTTAATTTTTATGAAATACGAGTATGTAGATTAGATTTTAATTTTATAAAAAATTTAAATCTAAATATTAGACGTTCAAAAATTCAATGTGTTTTTCGTTTTTTCTTATTGATGTAATTATGATTGATTCACATTAAATTATCATCACTTAAGTGATTTAATAAATTGACATTTATTAGATTTGACTTAGTGTTGAGAAACCGTTTGGAAATTTATAGGTTTGGTCGGTTTAACTTATGGTATTTTGCCAAAAATTACATCTACATGATTCATTATAAGATTATTTAACTCCTGCTGTGTCCCATATGAACAAACATGCGTGATGTCATTTTTGGCTCAAACCGGTCGTTTCAAAGTTATTAAAGAAAGTCTAAAAATAATTAAAATATTGATGATTTGAGATAAAGAGTGAAATTGTGTGGCCACCCCCACGCGTCTTTTTATGCAAAATATCGTATTTTGATGCAGACATGTCAACGAACTTTCATTTTTGGCACACCTTTGCATCATTGAATAACCGAAAATTTATCGAATTGTTTGGTTCAAGTAAAAGTGTCAAATTAAGGTGAAAGAAAGAGAAAAAAGTCGTCTACAACCGAGTAGAATTCCTAATGAAGGAAATAGTTTGGAAACGAAAGTTTTTACATAACTTAATTATTATACAAAATCAATCACAACAAAATAAAATTATATCCATTTTTAGAATATTAGAAAGGTGGGTCGAACTTTTCCTTTTATACCAAAAGTTTCGCTTCATCATTTTACTCCCTCAAAATCGTGAACTTGAAAACGGTCGACGTCCCCAAAAATAGACGTTTAATGAGCCATTTAATGAAGCAAAAGAACAGATGTTTGGTTTGTTTCCTCTTTATTATTTTTTTTTCCGAATTAATTCGTTCATCATTCATTACCGTCGTAAACATGCGTGAGTCATCATCATCATCCGACGACGAAACGAAAAGAGGATGATACGAATTAATAAATTGTAATAAAAGTGTGACCCAACAATATAAATACGAAGGTGTGTCCTTTATTATAATAATGAGGTGACAACAGATTTGCATACTTTCATGAATCAGAAAGTTTATCGAACGTAAATTTTTTGGCGTGCGTGTATGAGTTGAATCACGACGTGATGTGGTTAGTAATGAGAAATGGGGGTATTACGCACCTTGGTGAATAAATTTTAATTACTACACTACTCCAAAAAAATAAAGGAACAAAAAATTATACTAAATTTTTTGGTGATTTTTGTCGCTGAGATATCTGATTTTAAATGAAAAAGGATCCTCTTGTCTTTGATCGTCGATATCTTGGCAACCAATGACCGCACAAAAACTGGAATAAATGCCTTATAAGATCCTCTTATTATTTTTTGGAAAATAATTTTTTTCACCTTTAACATTGGTTTAAAGAAAAAAGAAAAAAGTAAGTATTTGTGTTGTTTTAGTAAATCTACCGCGTAGTCACTAATATTCATGGGGAGACTAATGTTTTTAGGTGTTTTTACAGCTTAATGTTCCCCCCATATCTCTGTAAATTTTTAAATCGATCCATCAAACCGTTTTCTCGGACCGATTGATCAAAGTTTTGCAAAAGAATTGTATATTGTTTCTGAACATCGTCTAATCTTCGTCAAGATGAGAAAAACAATTTTTTCAGCTTGTTTTACAATTTTGCATTAGTTAAATTTAAAAAAAAATCGAAAACCAATTCAAAAAAAAATTCAAAAATTAGTCCGTATTGTTTCTTATTTTTTTTTACGAATTAAAAAAAATAAACATTTTTTTGAATTTTTTTTTCAAAAATTAAGCAGTTCATTGTTTCTTAAATGTTTTTACAAATTTTCAAAAAAATAATCAAAAAACAGATTTTGTTATTTTTTTTATTTTTAGCAAATAACTAATGCAAAATTGTAAACAAGTCGAAAAAGATTGTTTTTTCAGTTTGATGAAGATTAGGCAATGTTCAGAAACAATATACCGGGTGTCCCAGGCAGGCTGGAATATAAAAAATTAAATTGGTTTTTATTTTTTTCCGGATGCAGGAGTAACAGAAATCAAAATTTGATTGAGGTAGCTTGTAGTGCTCGAAAAGGGCTAATCTTTTGTCGATTCTCTAATTAACTTCATTATTTTAGCGTTACTAAAAAATGAACTATCAACTCATTGTTGCCAACAGGGATCGATTTAAAAATTAGCAGGGCTGTGGGAGATACTTTAAGCTGTAAAAGCACAGTAGATTTACTAAAACAAAGTAAAAAGTTACTTTTTTTTTCTCTTTTCTTTAAATCAATGTTACAGGTGAAAAAATATATTTTCTAAAAAATCATAAAAGGATCTTATATATTCCAGTTTTTGACACTACCCTTATATTCTCTGTATAGTCATTGGTTGCTGAGATATCGATGATCAAAGACAAGAGGATCCGTTTTCATTTAAAGTCAGATATCTGAAGAAAGATATTAAAGGTAAACAAACATGTTATCCGGCCTATAAATTGACTTAACTAAAAAAAAAAATCTCCACGTCCGTGGACCAGAAACAAAGCCATAAAAATTTAGAATTTTTTTTCTTGGGTGACAACCGGAGCACAGAAAAATATTTGCCAAAAGAACTCAAAACTAGATACTTAAAGCTTCAAAATGTTTTTAAACTAGATGCGACCATTTTTCCGTGAGTTACAGCCTTTCAAAAATCACCAAAAAAATTGGGAAAATTTTTTGTTTTTTTAATTTTTTGGAGTAGTATATTTTTGGCCTCTTTGACTTTCACTAATGTCTATTAGAAATCTGAGAAAACTGAAAATCTCTCAATAAAAGAATCAAAACATTAGTAATTTATTGATTTGGTGCAGTGAAGGCACTCACTGCTTCGTCGATTGTGCTTCTGAACTATCAGTGACTGACTACTAACTGAAAAACTATTGTTTTCTAATTTTTGTAACGTCTTTATGTTCTATTTTTCATGTTTTCTAGCGGGAAGTGAGTTCAGTTTTCATTTGCAAATTTTTGAACAGAAATAATTGTCGGATTAAAATTAGAAATCTTCACACAATACGTCCATCCCCGGCGTCAGCGTGTCTTTTACACGGTCCAATTATTATCGGACGATAGTCCACAACAAAACAACACAATACATGTTGTGTACTTCGCGCTCCACTTCTCTAAGATAATGGCAAAAAGTTGCCGTTTTCGCACTTGCGTATAACCGCAGCAGATAACCGAAGAAGGATGTGTGTTGTACTATTTTAGTTTTTTTTTTATATAAATGTGTTTAGTTTTTTTTTTTTCTCTAATTGTGTACACAGATGTAATTTCACCTGATGCAGAAGGCGTGGTGATGTTAGCCACATCCGGTGGTGCTCTCTTGTATAAATATTTATGTAATTCTGTGTTGTTTGTAGAGGAAATGTAAAACAATCGACTTTTTTTGAATGTCGAAAATTAAAAGCGAGGAGATCAAAGAAGGCGGGCGTTCCGGTTATGCACTGGACTAAAGTTCAGTGGCTCGTGTTGTAGAAAACTGTTAATTGAGAATTGTTAGTACTTAATTTGTGATAATTAATGATGGAATATTTTAAATTTTTTGAATTGCTAAACATTTGGTATAATTGGACCGTAAAATATATAGTGTGATTCATAGAATTGAAACTTTTGAATTTTTTGACGAAACTATTGCATTTTCTTCTGAAATGATTTGAGATTAAAGAAAAAAAAATGAATAATTTTGATTTCAGGTCCAACCGGTGGCGGAACTGAGCGAGTTGAGCAGACGATCGGGCCATGACGGCGGCGAGGTCGTTCTAGATGATTCAAATATCCGTGGTGGTACATTACGACGTTCCGGAAGTCGAAGATTCAACAAATCGACAACTGTAAGTTGTAAAATAAAAAATAGGGTATCGGTAATGCACACCATGTGACGTTCCTTCCTTCCCCTTGTATTAACACCGAAATCGATCGCATTCTTCGAGTGCAACGATCTTCAACCTAAATTGTGGACACGTATGAGTCAGTATGTTGACTCGTAGACGATAATTATGATAATTAATAAGAGACAAATGTTATGGGGGTACCCATTCAGTGGCGCAGCCACGAGATAGATTTTTTTTACCTATGTACTCCTTTAAACGACATTTCCAAAAAACGAATGTGTTTTCTTGTTTCGTATTATCTAATCTAAATTTTAATGACATTCATCAAAATTTTTGTGTCGTTTCATTCATTTGTTGTTTAATTCCTTCGTTGAGTTTTTTGGCGAGTAAATCAGCTATAGCTAAACACAAATTATTTTGAGTTTTGAAAAATCAAGTATGTCTTAGAAATTTTCAGGAAAATTTATTTTTTTGTAAAGTACCATTATGTTGCAAATACGACAAAAATTTATAAGAAAAATTGTTTAGAATCAATATCTAGGCTCCAAATTTCAACTAAGATTTTTCATTTTTATTCAAGAGAGCTTTTTAGTAACTGAAATTATTTAAAAAAGTTGACTGAAATGAAAATCTTAAGTCCATATAATTTCAAAAACCTCGGCCAACTTTGCTTTTAAATTTTCTTTTATGTTTATTTCTCAAATTAAAGAATTTTATTTGTAACAAAGACCGACATAAAAAACAAAATTATATTCATAACAATATTAATCTGTGAAACAATCAAACACTATTTTATTAAACTTGAACTGTTTTTTAATAAACTGGTGTATATATTTTTTTATTTTACGTCAAAGCTATTCATGAAAGTTTGATTGTAAACGAACCATCGTAACAACTCGGGCGGTGTATTAAAAATTGTGGTCCGTTCACAACGCACCATAAAAAAACACGTCATACGTATAAAAAACGATTTTCAATACACTTTAGCCGAAATTTACAAAATAATGCAAAGTTTTTATTTATTTCTATAATTTTTATTATACATTTCATGCTATTTTTAATTTATATTTCAGTTTACTTACCTTTTGTTTACTTATATCTGTTTCATTAGTACACTGGACATGTTTTCAAACTCTGGTGCTCTTTTATTATTTATTTGAATTACATATTAGTAAAAAAATATTTTTTAAATTTTATTATTGTATTCTTACACAAAATTTTAAAAATTTATTTCTTGCATTCTTACAACGTTTTTGTACTTTTCTAAGTCTCTTGAACTCCCAAGAGTGTAAATGGTTCATTTTTGAAGTTTTTGATTTTTTCAATTTTTGTCGATTTTCGGTTTATTGCTAATAACTTCGGAATTATTTACGCTCGTTCTTTTTATTTGGTACCTTTGGAAAGTAAATCTAATATTTTATCATACAAAAAAATGATAATTCTCCTACGTTAAATAGTTATCGAGAAAATTGCTGATAAAATCAAAAACATTTATATCAAGAATTTTGCAGTTTTCTCGACGCCAATCGATTTCTCGGAACATTTTGCATATGTTAAAACATTACAACGTTTGAGGTACAGTTTTGTCGCAATTTCCAAAATAAAGAAAGTAAAAATTTTTGAATCTTATGAAGTTATAATTATGACAACATGGAAAATAATTAATTGTATACAAAATTGAAATGTTTAATTTGGTTCTTTCTAAAGCATAATATTACCACTACAAATAATTTTGTCTGATTTTGTTCTGGGGGGGGGGAGGTCAGGTCAGGTCATAAATCATAGATGTGTCAGTTTACCTGTACAGATTTAATTTTGTGTCAATTCTGGAGATAGATGTCTTAAAACTTAATTGAATTTAATTTTTTGAGGGAAATCTAGCGCAGATAGAATGACAATTAGAAAATTTGTTTCTTATCGCATTACACGGCTGTTAAGAACCGTATAATTTTTACGAACGCGTTTATTGCATTAATTCGTCACGATAATACAATACAGATGTTGATTTTTTTCCGAGTGTGTGAAAAAAATTCCGTTTTCTGGTCGTGACCAGGAAAATAAAAGTTAAAAATATCAAACGAGAGAGAAGGAAGCTTTTTACCTAGTAACCTTTAGTACAGTTCACGTAACTCGTTTAATATTAATAAGATGAAATAATAGTACAACCGGTTTTGTATTGTGGTATGTTTAAAGGTGTGAGTGGTTATGGCGCTACCGTTAGTAAATGTATCATAGATATAGACACGCATCTTTTTTCGAGTGTCTGTATATGCATAATGAGGTTTTAGAATGAATTGAATAGAAAGGGGGGCGTTTCTAAATTTAAATTCGAAAATTTGAAGCAGTGACATCTACGTTTCTTGAGACAAAATAACTACAAATGTGTAGATGACCAGTAATACACGTTGTATAAAGAGTTGCATATATAATTTTATAAAAATTACAAACCAGTTGGTGGGTTTTTGATATTTATTAGGTGGGATGTGATTTATTTTGTCGTTTCGATTATGGAATGGGAGCGGCGCCCTTCGTTGATTTTTTTTCCTGTTATTTGGGTCGCACGTATTAGCGTTAATTTGAGTGAGAGTGAAATTAGTCAAAAAAATCGCAAATTTCTAATAAAACATCCACGACCTTCTGGTCAACCCACACACAATCGTGACACCTCCAGGAATCGTAACGTCACACGTTACCCAACTTGCATTCGTGCAGCAATTAAACTTTTAAAAAGACACCTGCGAATTATTAAATTCTCCGCCGGCGGATATGCCGACAATAAGCGTTAATTAATAACGATTAGTAGAGATAGGATTAGAAGTAAGAACGATAATGCTTGGGGGTTTTGTTGCCTGAGGTGTGGTGCAGGTGTTTGCAGGGAAATGAGAAAATTTTGTTTTATTAAGTTTATATTTGCATATTGGGTGAGAAAGATCAATGTCGAGTCAGGCTTTTGTTTAAATAGAAGACCATATTTCAAAAGTTTTTGCGACTTGAGGATCATAAAATTTTAGATTTACTACCGAACCATTAAAACCTCAAAAAATTCGGATTTTTTAAAAACTCATGCACTTTTTTTAGCTTCTAGAACCTATAGAGATGTAAAATACGTTATTTGGTTCAGTTTTAAAGTTGTATTTTTTATAAATAAATCAAGATTTTGGTCGATTTTCGGTACCCAGAGCGATAGACTGCTGACATGAATTTGATGTCCAAAATTTCGTGTCCCCCACTGTAGTACCAGTTTTTTTTTATAAAAATAAAAAGTTTTTGATTTTTTGGTCAGAATCTGATAAAGTGCTTATGCTTATAGCTTATAGCCCTATTCCTAACTTTCTTATTAAATTGTCTTTCAACAAGCTCACTTACTATTATTTATCATTAACTTTTGATTTTAGGCAATTTGAAAATTTAATTAAATAAAATAGGCTGTGGAAAGAATAGCACATTTTTTTATTTATTTTATCTAAGACAAGCAAACGATTGATAACGAAAAACTGTTCAACATTGAACCAAAAAGTACTATAACGTCCTTAAAAGTAATGAAATTATTATGGCTTGGGGCGTTTTTTATAATAATAATTTCTCGGAATTGTTTGAAAATTGGCGATTTTCTGTATTTTTTGGCAAAATTTTTTGAAATAGTGATTTTTTCCGCAAAAATTAGCTACATTTTTCGTAGCACAAACTGAGTTACTTTAGATAATAAAAGAGTAGTTATTTATTAAAAAAATTATTAATCGTAAAAAAAGACATGCCAAAAGTAAGACGATTACAAATGGAATTACTTTTTACAATTTTTGTTAGATCCGTTTTTGCCCTTTCCTTCGAAATCATAGGGTGAAGATTTACGGGTGCCAAAAATCCACCAAAATCTCGACAAAAATCAAAAAAAAATTCACTTATAATATCCCGAGTGCATTGATTGTTTCCGGAAATTTTTTCGAGTGATTATTAAAAACGACATTAATTAGCCCGAGTAGAACACGAAGTCTAATTACACGTTTTTGCCAATCACTCGAAAAAATTTCCGGATTCAATCAATGCATGGGTGAAAATTTCATGACATCACGAGTTCAAGTAAGTAGGTCTTAGTTTTTAATGTTTAAAATGAAGTTTTACTAAATATTTGAGGTAAGTTTTTGTGTCAAAAAAATTTCCACTTATTAATTCTAGCTAATAAGTCAAAAAATTTCCGGAAAATTTTTATGTTGCTATAGTAATCATATTAAATACTAAATTCAAATTGGTTCATCCATAGGGTCATGCAATTTTCAACAGACATTTTTTGATTTGTGTTGAGATTTTGGTTGATTTTATTTATTGGTGATAACCTCTTATGTTTGGTACCATTGGAAAGAAAATTTAATTTTTCTATATACAAAAAAGATCAGTGTTCTACCATAAATAGGTAGTTATCGAGAAGATTGTTGCTAAAGTCAAAAATATGGAAATTGATTTGAATTTAAAAAATGGCAGTCAAAAATTCTGTTTAAGAGCTTGAATCTAAATAATTAGTGTGCGTTCTTGTTCAATTCGCATGATTTCAGAGTCTATCAATTATTTTATTCACAATCACTAATGTAATATGCCGATTATTAACCTTTTTATGGTTGGGAAACATGTCATTATTTCTCATGAAGAGTAATAAATGTTACTCCTCTTGGGTGGTAACATGCAGGATTGCCAACGTTAAAATTACGAAAATACCGGAAATTTTTTCTTTTAAATTGTCGAGTTACGCATAATATTTCACTAAATTAGTATTCAATTGCTTTTGTAGCAGTTTCTCTTAATTCTGGGGGAGTACATTGCTCCATTTCGACGACTTTAAATCAGATTTACACATTATTTCAATATTTTCTTTGACATTTCTGAAATGTCAAAAATCAAACGTCATTTGGATGGCCTACCACGTTTGGACCTTAACTTTGTTAGAATTTTATTTTACTCAAATTTTTGACTGAAAATAATGTGATTGTGAATAAAATAGCATACAAACCTCGGTGGTAATGGCATTACCCCTTGTGCTTTATACATAAGCACTCGGGGTAATGCCATATTTACCACCTCGCTTGTAATGTACTATTGTTGTGTTGCTGTTGGTAATGGCTCAAATGATTGTTTGTCTTGCAAAATCTGGGTTCGTCGCTTCTTGGTGGTTGCACAACATTCGACAGGTTGCATGGGCGTGAATAGTAGATGGGATGGTACCTACAACAACGCGAAAAACCTTGATTATGGTTATTTTGTGACCATAGGCGTTCCACCAATACATTGAAATTTTATCGTCGTTTTAATGGGAAAATTGTGAATCGAAAAGTCGTGTTCGGAAAACTAATGGGATGTGTGAATCGTTGGCGCATTTCCTGTGTTGTTGTTGTCGTTGTCGTCGTTGTTGCATCAACACCTACGAACACACGGAATTTATCCAATGTTGTGAAACTAAGGTATAACGAGAATGTTTTGCATTGTGCCGAAAACTATATTCGCGTGGTCGATTCCGGGGGCTCAACCTGTTCCAATTACAACACACGAAAAACAACACAAATTGAATAATTTGAATGATTTAGCAATAAATTACTAATGGTTAGAAGGTCGTTTTAGGACGTTGGTGCATTTCTCGTGTAGGTGACAAGGTGAAGAGTTATGTTATGGCTAGAGCTATAAAATAAGAGGCAACGGAAACGGGGATTACGTGAGCGAATTGTAAAAGATAGGTGAGGAGTTGATGAGGCGATTCACCTTTTTACCACCAAAACGGGAAGAAATATTGTAAACGACACACTTTTTACATTTTTATTTTCACATTGTGGAATAGTTTTTTTTCTTTTTCGAATCAATTACCTAGGCCAACGTAACGGCTTCCGATAAATAAGTGACATCTTTGATGTGCATTTACGTTCACGGTTGTTTTACTCAAAAACCTAAACTATAATTAATAGGAGGGAGGGAAAATCTCATTAACTACTTATCATCGCAAAGTTGTAAAACTCGCTCCTTTTCATTAAAAAATTACTCGTTAGATACTTCCTTGTTTGAATTTTTGTAAAATGTTATTTTATCCTCACATTTCTGAGAATTCCCATCAAAATTCCGTTAAAATTCACAATCCACATTCCTGTTTTGGTCATATATCACTCGGGCCAAACCTGCGGACGTTCAATGTTACCAACCTAATGCACATATTGGTTTACGGGCGTGGGTTTGTCTTTAGTGCCCCGGTACAAACATATATTGTACTACCGGTTTATAATTTTTTTTTCTTTATCGGTTTCCTCCGATCTCAATATGTTGTTCGCCCACATTGTCGATGACGAATTTTTTTTTTTTCAGTTTTGCTGATTTTAGATGCGTTTTTTCGTTTGGGGTTCCTTTGTTTGCTAAAAAATGCAAAGGCAAGACACTCCGCCTCCATGATTTTAAACTCCCACGCATCATTCTATCGATACCATCGAGATATTCGCGTTTTAAATGCGTTATTAATATTCATGACGTTCGTCAAGGACGTGCTGTGAGCGCACCTTTCGTTCAGAAGAAAAATTCGGAGCATTTCCGAAATGATTTACGACAAAAACCTGAATTTTTGACACGATTTTACCTTTTTTTTCTGATTGTCACAATATCTTCAAAGTATAGTCCTGGGGTTAATATACAGGGTGCATCAGAACTTGCTCCCCAGAGAAAAATGAAAAAAAAATACCAGGAACATGGAAAAAATGTTAAAAAAATTTTATCTATAAAAATTTCGAAGTTATGAGGGTTTCAACTTTGCACTTTGACTATTTATTTCTGTTGGAAAAATAATTTTCCAAATTTTTTTGCTACAAGGTATTATAAGAGGAAACAAGGAAGCTCTATCCTAAATTGTAATTCTGTTCAATGTTCAATGTTATTTGTCGCTTTTATTGGCAAAATTTTGGTACTTGTACTAAATAATTGTAAAAAAACATATACAAGATCATCAGTATCATTAAATAGACATAAAAAAATGTCGAATGTTAAAAAATAAATGTCAAATTTTTTTGACAGATAGAATTTTTTAAACATTTTTTCCATGTTCTTGGTTTCTTATCTTACTTGAAATTTTTCTCTGGGGCGCGAGTTCAGGTTTTTTTAATAAAAAACAGAAAAGTCAACTTTAATTTCTGTCGACACTTTTTTATTTGTTCTTCATTTTGATTTTCGTTTATCTGATTTCTTACGTTAACAGCCGAGAAACCGACTTCTTGGACGACAACTTTTATACCAGGTGAATAAAAAGTATGGAACCAAACGTTTTTGGTTTAAACTATTTATTTTTTGGTAAAACTAACTGATAAATGATAAAGTACTATAAAAATGTGACGTTTTATTAAGAATAAATTTTTTCAAAATTTTATTTTGTTTTTTGTTGTACAAATTTTTTAATTTTTTTAAATGGCAACCCACTATAAATCTATTTTTCTCATGAAGGTTATGATCTATAAGAATTGCAATTATCTACTTTACATTTAAGTTTTTTTTTAAACAAAATTACATAAATTGCAATTTTGACAAAAAAATTGCTCGGTTTTGAATTATTTTTTTATAAATTTCCAAATCATGTGTGACAAAATTTTTGAGTTTGTGTCAGAATAGTGTATTTGTCCCCGCCTTTCACGTGGTCGTTTCTTGACACCCATAGACTTCCCATTCAGTCGTTAGTCGTTTATCGGTAATCGTCGTTACAAGACGAATCGCACGTGTTCGTGATGTTCAGGTGTTTTCGTGAGGTACCTTCGAAATATTTCATTCAAATTTTGAAATACTGAAGGTTCGTGATAATAATATGTCATAAGACGTCATTGTTGGGTTTCAAATCGAAGATGTTTCAAGGAAAAAAAATTGGAAATTTTTTAATTACGAACGAGTCAAGGTTTTTAAATTCAATTGAAGTCAATTTTTTATTATTTTTAGGTGTTAGATAATCACTAATTACGTCTTTAGGAAATTATATAAATGAACGTAACGAGATTGAAATATGTGTCTCATTATGTAAAATGGTACTTCATGGGAAGCATCTGATATTAAATTTCGATTTGTGCCTCCCGGCTTGACCTTTCTAGTTTTAACGAGGAAACTATTCGTGTGGTGCAAGTCTGCAACTATCTTCATAAATAATCTGTCGAGATGCAAAATCAGTCACGATTAAGAGAAATATTTTTGAAAATTTTCACCAAAACTCGATTGAAAACGTGTGACCTTTTCTTAAATGTTTCAGTTTGCCTAAGTAACCAGTTGTAAAATGTTTTATTATCACTTTTATGACTGCTCCAGTTTATGTTTACACAACAAACGTTAGTTTTGCAAAAATGTAAATTGATTAAAAGGCTATTTCGTAATTGTTTACTTTGAATTAATAATTACAATGAATGAAAATTTTAGATAATGTGAAAATAATTGCAATTGAATCGGATTAGCATACAAAATAGTTATTCGTGTATATGTATAAAATTTTAACCCGAAATGGCGTCAAATGACATTTTTTATTTTTTTGATTTTGGGTACCAAAATTTTGAACAATTTCAGCACCGACAATGTTCAATGGCTCATTCGAAAACTCGCTTCGAAACGGTTCTTATACCTCACCTAAAACGCCCAAAAATCAGACCTACCAACACAATTCGTGTAAAGGTACCGCTCACGGCACCGGTACCTACATTAAAGATGGTGCATTTCAAAGAATACCTTCTAAGAGATACGCAAAACCGCCTCAAGTACCAACAAGTGATAAAACAAAAAGTACTAGTGTTAGTTCGGAGGGTTTCAGCGAATCAGATTCGTTAGATTCATTGGGTGAAAAAACTAAAAATGGTACCACTGAGAGAAAATTGGACGTATCGAGTCGTCTTTATAACAGTACGACTAAAGCATCGGTGGCCAAAACGGCCAAAATGAGACATTTGGATATTTTTGATGTTTCGTGGACGAACAATTTGAGAAAAGGGACGAGAAATAAAAAAAATAAACGACGGGAGAATTTAAAAAAGGCACTTGGCGATAAGTTAGTACTTGGAGAAGGGAAACGTCACCGGAAAATTGAAAATGTTGACTATGTGGATGTTGCATTTTTTGCGGAAAATAAAAAATTCCCGGGTTACTTCCGAACGCTTGATTTATCACAGTGTTACAAAAACATGACCGAATTTATGGTACTTGTGACTTGTGATTTTTGTAACAATTTGATTAATTATTTTTTTTTGGTTTTAGGCCAAGTCTGAGGAACACCTCGAAAAAGAGAAGCAATGGCTCGATGCAGAAAAAGTCTGGTTGATGCACAGAGGCGGTTTTACGGCCGCTATGAAAGACACCGGAAATGGCAACGAACCCGGAAAAATCCAGGTGTGTCTGGAACACAGCAAGGAAATTTTAACAGTCGATGAAGACGATATCGAGAAAGCAAATCCGCCACAATTTGACCGTGCTGAAGATTTGGCCGCGTTGAGGCACTTGAACGAATCAAGCATTTTACATACTTTAAGACAACGATACGCTACGAATTTAATCCATACTTATGCCGGCTGTGGCACCCTTTTAGTAATCAACCCTATGGCACCTTTGGCCATATATTCCGAAAAAGTCGTAGCTTTATTCAAAGGTTGTAAATCGGAAGATATGCCTCCACATATCTACTCCATGGCTCAGTCTTGTTACCACGGGATGCTTTCATCGCGTCGCGACCAATCTCTAGTTTTTCTCGGCCGGTCCGGATCTGGAAAAACCACAAATTTCCGTCATTGCATCCAATATTTAGTCACAGCGGCCGGTTGTGTTAATAAAATTTTGACTGTTGAAAAACTAACAGCTTTATGGACAGTCCTTGAAAGTTTCGGCAATTGTCGCACTGTTATGAATACAAATGCGACTCGTTTTACACAAATTTTTAGTCTCGATTTTGACCAAAGTGGTGTTATAGCATCTGCTAGTATCCAAATTCTTCTATTGGAGAAGTCACGAATTGCAAGAAAAGTCGAAGGAGAAACAACGTTTCATATTATGCAACGGTTATTGAGCGGTGTTGAAGGAGGCTTGAGAAAAGAGTTGTTTTTGGAGAATTTATCAGGGAATGAGAACAATGCCTTCGTGACACTATTACAGAAACACGAGGATAAGCAGAGGGCACAAGGGGAGTTTGTGAAAGTCTGTGCGGCGTTTAATGTATTGGGGATTGGGGAAAATGAACAGAGGAGTATTTTTAGTGTCTTGGCGGCGATTTATCATCTAGGGAGTGCGGGAGCTGTCAAAGGTAAATTTCTCATAATATGTATTCATATAATTAATTTTTTTCATAGCTGGTAGTTCAGGGAGTCGTTACCAATTCGCCAGTCCCCAAGCTGCTCAACGTGCTGCCACCCTCCTTGGCACCACTGTCGAAGAACTCTCCCGTGTTATTTTCGGGTTGTCTTCTGGCGGTATGGTCACTCCCAATACCCCACGTGCCCCATTTCGCACCCCATCGCCTATTGATAAGGGTCTAGAACGCGAAGCTGTCGGTTTTGAAGCAATCGAAGGCATGGCGATGGGACTCTACGCTGAAGTTTTCAATTGTATTGCGTCTCTTATCAATCGTTCAATTTCGGCATCGTCTCATACCGTTTCAAGTATCCTTCTTGTTGATACTCCGGGATTTCAAAATCCGGCCACTTGTGGACGACAAGCCGGAGCTAGTTTTGAGGATTTATGTCATAATTATCTACAAGAGAGATTACAACTTCTATACCATCATACGAATTTGGTAGCACCGAAAGATCGTTACATGCAGGAGAATATCGAGTGTGTGTATGATGAGAATGAAAATTTGATAAATCCAATACCGTTGGTGAATTTGATGGATAAAGCGGCACAAAACAGTGTGGTGAGGACATCACAAACTGATTTACATGAAGGTGATCGTCGTGGCCTTCTTTGGTTGCTTGACGAAGAAGCCATTTATCCAGGATCGACTGATGATTCCTTCCTTGAACGTCTTTTCACACATTATGGCGATCGTGACCACCAACTTCTCCTCCGGAAAGCGCCCGGAAACAATCAATTCATTTTGCAACATTTACAAGGAACAAATCCGGTCCTATACACCGCCAAAAATTGGCTCAAACACAGCAGAGAGAATCCGATTGCAAAAACTGCCGTTACAGTATTACAAGAGAGTTGCAAGTGAGTAAAAAAAATCATTTTTGTGTTTTGTTTTAATCGAAATTATTCCAGAGAGGACATAAGTAAGTTATTTGTGAGCGTTCGAGGATTGGGAGCGACAAGCTTTAGCGGGTCTTTGGTTGGTATCGAAGGCTCTCAATCCTTGAGAAGGGCCTCCAGTATTCGACGGACTTTTACAGCCGGTACAGCTGCAATAAAACGCAAAAGTGTGTGTTTACAGGTTTGTAGTTATGCAACCAATTATACACGCAAGTGAGTAATAAAGTTGCAGACTAAATTTACCGTCGATGGTTTAATTGAAACTTTGAGAAGGACGCGTCTACGATTTGTTCATTGTCTTCTACCTCAACACAATGCCGGTTTTTGTGAAGCCTTGGCCGTTAAAACTAGCTTAGGTCAGCCGGAGGACGCCTTAATGAATATTCCACTTTTGAGGTCGCAAATACGTGGAGGTCAAATTTTGGATGCTGTACGTTTCTACAAGCAAGGTTTTCCGAATTTTTTGCCTTTGAGTGAATTCAGGCGACGGTTTCGTCTACTAGCCGGCGATAGTAAAATTTCCAGTCCGGTTCTGGATGAGAGGAAAGCCGTTGAAGATATGTTATTGGCTGTGGATTTGGAATTGTCAAGTTACAGGGTTGGATTAAGTCAGGTAAGGAGAATTTTTCGTCTTTGACAAGGTCAAGTGTGTTAATCAACCGCGAAATATTTCATCGTCTAACCGCAAGTTACGTGCATGAATCTTGTCTCATTAATTTTTTAAAAATCGATTGTTACTTTAAGATTTTTTAACGGTATTTTTCTTCGTTGGTTAAATTAAAATTGATTGAATGGAGGTCAGGTAAATTGCTCGTTTTGATCAACGAGAATATAAAACACGAACTGCACCTTTAAACAACAAAACAGTAACCGACATACATTTTCCATGGCGATTATCGGGTGAAAGTCAAAGTCAATGGACTCTTTTGGATGAGGGTGTGCGTGAAAGTAGTCTCAGGTGTGTGAGATTATCGAAAATATTGATTAAAAAATTAAGCTGAAATCACGTTCGAAGTAGAGCAGGAGTGTTGGTCTTTTTTCAAATTATTTTTCTTAAAACATTAAAGGAAAAACTAACTTCACTTTTGTAATATTGATATTATTAGTATTACTATTAATTTGGAGGATGAAAGTTTAATTTACTACACTTGTGTTACAAAGAACTAAGTGGAAGTGTGCATACGAAAGGTGAGTATACAGGGTGTTACTTTTACTTACTTTTTTTTTACAAAAACTATATTTTCAAATAATACTATTCATTCCTCGTTTTCTTAGTAAATGCATCAAATTTTTTTGGCACATCCGGTGTAGCAAATGCTACCAAATTTAGTTTTTCAAATGTTTTTTGCTCGAAACAATAATAATTTGCATGAAAAATACGGTAAACCACTATTTATTACATTTTACTTTACAAAATGCACTCAGAAAACAATTTAAATTTTTGAATTTTATGGCAAATTTTGCAACGTGGGCGGATTTTACTTGTGAAGGTATTCATGCATAAAACAATATGCTTGGATACCGTTTAATTGTTAGTTTGACAAAGTCTAATTTGTCAATAAATCTTGTTGAGACCTTTAATAATGGATGATATTAATTACTACGAATTGGTAGATAAGCTTGAAGTGTTTTTTAAGTGCAATAAAAATAGAGCGGAAGCTGAAAGACAGTATAGAGAAAAATACTCAAATAGAGTTCACCCAAATCGTTGGAAATTTAGTCGAATTGAAAAACAACTGGGACGAATAGTTTCGCTTCTTAGAACTAAAAAAACCTGTGGTTCTTTGTGAAGAACAAGAAAATAGAAATCTGAATGTTCTGTTATCAGTCGAAGAAAATCCAAGAGTTTCCATAAGAGAACTCGCTCATAAACTGACAAATTAGATTTGTCAAACCAACAATTAAACTGTAGCCAAGCATTTTTTTTATTCACACCTTTCCTTTAAGACTAAAAATCAGGCTACGCGACCAATTTCCTTATAAAATTCTAAGATCTAAGATGTTTTTTGATTGCATTGTGTTACGCAGAATGTAATAAATAGTGGTTTACAGTATTTTTCATGTCAATTATTATTGTTTGGAGGACAAAAAACATAGATGTTCCATTTGAAAAGCTAAATTTTAGCACATCCGGCAACACCGGATGTGCTAAAAAAATTTAATACATTTATTAAAAAAACCAAGAATAAATATTATTACTTAAATATCTACTTTTTGAAAAAAAGAAGTAAGTTTAGGTGTTATCAGCCGGGGCGACTTAGACCGAACACCCTGTATAAGTAAAAATCAAGAATTGGGTTTACAGCTTCATAAAATTACTTAGAATGTCTAGTAATAAATGAGAAAGTTACTTAATTGAAAAAAATGGTTATTTAAGTAACATCGAATTACTTTTCAATAAATAAATGGTGTGAAACAAGCTTTCAAAACAATGATTTTCTTTATCACAAGACAAAATCATTTGTAAAATGTTATTGGTTGTTACTTTTTGTAATATGATTACGTTTTCATGTTTCAAATGAAAATATGTTCGAGCGTAATAAGTTGTTTGGCAATTTAAAGAAAGCTTTCCATTTTTTTTTTATAAACTATTGCATTATGTATTATGACAAGTGATGTGATTTTCCCACAAGACTTCTTATAGAAAAGCTATTACAGGATTCTATATCGGGAGAAGAAAGTTACAATATTGTATCTACAGACTTGATCATTTTCTTTTTTCCTTTTCAGTTATTTTTACCTAGTTTTCATTTGTCGGAATAATAAATTTAAACATCGTCGATTTATTTGTTCCATTTTCTTGTCTACATGCATAAACATAGGACAAATAAAAAACCTACACTTGACGTTGAAATGTTATACTGTATAAACTGGTTCTCATTAAATCATCCGAAAAAAAAATCAACTTTTCGAATTAATAACATCACGGCTTAAAGAAGTGTACTTCAGAGTGAAAGGTAACTGTAAAATAAGAAAACTTTTGTAAAACACTTGGCCTGTATCGATGATGTTTTTTGTGTTGTCTCGCATGAAGCGAATCAAAAATATCTCAATCGAAAAAAAAAGTCTTAATTGATTCGTGCATGTGTGGGTGGTCTAATTTTCGAAAGCACTTTCACCCACTCGTCCGCACCCGTCTCTACTATTTTTTTTTTCTCTTTCATTTCCGGGGGGAAAAAATCGCGTCGATGATGAGTCTTTACATCACCAATTTGTTGTTTAATTAAAGGCTTGTCACGTCTATCGACAGTGAAAAACAGTTAGAGGGTTTCCGGTGTGAGGGGGCCTACTTTTATTTAATGCTGCATACGTGACCTCTGACCTCGCCGATTTGTCGTCGTCATATGGCAAACGGCGGTTTCCGCGTCCCCGATCGAAAAAGAAACGGTGATTTATGGGTGGAGGTGACATAACGAGATGCCACTAGTTTCGTTTTCGAAAACTTTTAATTTTGTTTTTTCTATTATCCATTTTTCATTCTGTATCGTCTATCTTTTAGCAAAATTTGCATTTCTGATATTAATCATTAAGTTATTCGTTTAATTAACTCTTAGACAACAACAATTTTGGCAAATTTATTCCATGGCATAACAGAATTTACATCAATTAATTAATAAAATGAGTAGATTACAAATTCTGGATTTAATCAATGAATTATTCAAAAACCGACTTGTTTGACTTAATTTTATTACTCTTGTTTTTAAGATTTATGCGAAAATGTATGTTAATTTTGCAAAGAAACATTTTATTTTTGCTTGTTGTACTCTACTGACATCATTTTTAAACAACGATAAAAAATGAGCGTGTTTTAATTTGTATATTTTAAATAAAGAAAATTAATCGTAAAACAGCATCCTCTGTTTTTTTCATAAGTGATGTGAAATTACATTGGCAACATTGAATTATCAATAATCACAGACTGCTAATCAGGAATTTAATTGACGTTTATACAGGTGTTTCAACGAGTCTATAAAGTCCATTATTGATCTTTAAATGGTAAAATATTTAAAAATTTATACCAGGAGAAACCAAAGGTTTTTTGCTCAAACTATTTCTTTTTTGGAAAAACTAATTGATGAATGATAAAGTACCATAAAAATGTGATGTTTTACAAGAATAAAATTTTTCGAAATTTTCTTTTGTTTTTGAGTTCTACAAATTTTTTTATTTTTTTAAATTTCAACCCTCTATAAAACCATTTTTCTATGAAGGTTGTGATCTAAGGATTACAAACAACTATTTACATAATATTTGATTTCTTCAAAAAAAAAATTTTTACATACAGTTTTGACAAAAAAATCGCATAACTCAAAAACAAAACAACATTTCGTTCTCAAAATACGATCAGATTTTTTATATTACTTTAATTTATATTAATTATTATTTTCTGGGGGCAAATGATTAAAAAAAAACGCTCGGTTCCATACTTTATATTCACCCTGTATACACAATTAATAGATATACTGTTTTTCATATTAATGTGCATTAAGTAAAGTCTAAATGAATCTTTAATTTAAAGGCCGATTTACACAAAAAGTGTCATTAATGTCATTCAGAACAAATTTAATCACATCAATAATAACTAAAACCCTTATGTTTGCTATCCTATGTTAATTACGTTGTTAATTATAATTATTTTTTGCTACATGGGGTACACCATTTATTTGAAAAAATAATTTTAAGGGAAGATTGAGATTTGGATTGTTTGCCACCTTAAAATGATCTCTTTCAATGACTACTTCGATGCACATTAATATGAAAACGAGTATATCAACCCCCTGCATCAGTTAAAAGTTTTTTCAATTCTACAGGGTGTTTGATAAATGAGTTACAATACAAACTTATGTTTTATTTTAATGAAACACACTTTATTTTATTGCATTTTTGGACGTACCGATTATTTTGAGCTTAACTTTTATCCATTAATTTTGCTTATTTTTTGAAATAATTCATTTTTTGTATGAAATTTTGTACAAATTTATTTACCAACTAAAACATTCTGTATAATCGAAAAAATTGTGCTTTTTCTCTAATAAAAATGAAAACTGGTGTAATTAATCAGATTTTTTCACTTTGTAATATTTAAATTGATGACGCACAATGAATAAAAATAAATTTAAATGTTATCGACCCGATCGAACATAATTAACGACTACCAATTTTGGATGACTTAATTTTCACCGAATTCAAATTATCTTGTCTTGTTTTTTAACAAAAATTTATTTAAATTTCAAAACTGTTTCAATAAATTAAAGAATCACATAAATTAAGCAAAACTCACATGTGGCGCCATTAATTATGTAAAAAAATAATGATGTATTTTTTTCTTTATAAATAAAACTATTAAACACGGAAATCTCTGTAATTTGAAAATTTCGTCCGGAAACGTGAATTTTTTTCGTGAAAGTATCAAGAAGAATCGAGTCTAAAATAAACAGGTGAACGTCCTCATTTTTCTTATAAAAATAGCTAGTTTTTCGGAAAACGATTTCGTGTAATTTATTCGATGCACTTGTCTGTGTGTCTGGTGTGGAAAATAAAGTAAATCGAATGGCAAAAGACCGGTTTTTCCCCCGAGACAGAAGCGGGTCATCGTTGAAATCTCCCCGTCATGATTTTTACACGAAGATCAATCGGACCAGTTCTGGACGATAAAATGGCCGTTGACCTTTTGGTACAAACACCAACAGGTTCACATCGAGAGATTTGCATCGGTAAAAATCGAATAGTACCGCTAATAACACCTTTCTAATCCCGAAGAGGCGTCCCGACGCCCCACATCGTTCTTGGGCCAACAACATCACCATCACCATCAGTAGTCGCGCGACCGCGAACGTAAAAACATTAACTTGTGTGGCGATGGCGACCAAGTGTCGAGTCTCCAACAACAAGAAGAAACAATTAGTGAAGAAAAGTGAACACATTTACGAAAATCTCACCTACACGAAGAGAAAAGAAAACGTGGATAATAAACTAAAAATAGTTATTGATAATTTCGATAAAATCTTGGATGAGTACAAGGACAAGGCGCTGCCGAGTACGAAAATACCGAAATTACAAAAGGCCAAAACTTGCAGCATAATCGAGTCGAAATGTATACTTAAGAAAACCCTCTCGCAACCGGAAACCCCGAAAAACATCCAAAAACCGCTCCAAACCAAAACGAAAAGTTTGGCCGATATTTCACAACCATCAAAACCATCGAAAGTTAAACAAGCCGTCGAAAGAATCAATCTTTTGAACAAATCGAAAAGCATAAATGATGTGAGTGGACAGCTGAAAAGTCGAATTCCGGTTAAAACTCCGGTTTTGAGGAAAGTATTTCCGAGCACTCCCTCCGGTCTGAATTGTTTAGATCGTTCGGGATGTGCGAAGAAAAGAGATTTTGTTAATAAAAATAACACGAAAGAGAGAAGTGTTAAAGATGTCGTCCTGAAACTTGAAGGTGACAAGTTGGGTAATGGACGAAATACGTACAAGAAATGTGCAAAAAATCCTCCAGTGTGTGAAAAAGTTAAAGTGAAGTTGAGTTATAGTTCCGATGATAATTCCGACGATTCGGGGAATATTTCCAACGAAAATGAGGTGGATTGTGACGATGTGGGGTCAGAAAAGGTAAACACTGCCCACGCGGGTTACAAATTTTTTCGCAAAATTTTGCGATTATTTTTTATTTTGAGATAGTTGTAACAACGTGAAATCAGCTTAATCTTTACATTTGAGACATTTATGTACCCGTATTGTGATTATTTTGATTGAATTGAGAATTGTTGATGTGGTCAATATAAAAATTTCGAATATTTTTAACACTATTCTGGCATAAAATTGATTTGCAACGGCGTACACATTTTTCATTCACTTTGACCTTCAGGAATTTTTTCACCTTTTTTCTGCAATAATCTGTTTATCATGTTCTTCTGAGTCACAAAATCGACACGTCCTGTAATTATCGCAAAATTGTGTGTTTTTGAGTGAATAATGACTTCTAAACTTAAAATTTATGTAAAAATCCGTAAAGTAAGTACAGTTTCTCTTTACAATGGTCCAAATTTCCGCCCAACTCAAACATCAATCTTCAATTCTCCTCATCCAAATGTTACTTTCGCCAATTTTAAATATATCTAATAAATTACTTTCACAAATGTAACACTTGGCAATGTTACAAACCGGTAAAATTATCAACAATGCACACGATTTTTTATTTCGTTGCGATAAATCGTCAACATTTGCCAGACATCAAATAAATAATTGTTTTTATTTTCGTGCAGATTTTCTTCCGGAATGGAGTTCTTTCGCAATTGGAGTCTCAAAGGGATGAACGTCTTGCCGGTATGGTGGTTAATCTGCAAGCTCATTGTCGAGGATATTTGGCGAGGAGGAGGTTAACACAAAGAAAATTACAAGATTTGGCCGTGCGATGTATCCAGAGAAATGTGAGGAAGTTCCTGTTGGTGAGGGATTGGCCATGGTGGAGGTTGTTGGTGAGGGTGACACCCTTACTCAATGTGCACAGAACAGAAGAGGAATTGAGGATAAAAACGGTAAGTTTTTTAAATCAAAAGACAAAAAAAAACATTCCACTTAGCTAACCGTGCGTTAATTATATCGGCAATTGCAATAAATTGAGTTAAGTGTGTTATCAGTATTACCAACTATAACTCAAAACTGTCGTTTTAATTGCTAGATATATACCCGAAATTAATAGGCAAGTTATTTAGTGAAAGTAGTGCATCCCAGGTGAGTACCAACTGTATTGCAGAAAATTGCAACATTTTTTTGTTACCACGTACAACTTGCATAATTTTCCAGAATGGCACGTGCGAATTTCAATTATGGTAGTGTTTATAAATTGTGTCAAAAAACTGTTACGTGAAGTAATTAAAGTCGTAAAATTTAATGTTTGTAATGGTAATAAAAATGACAGATAATATGGTAAAAAATTTGAAAATTTACGAGTTGATGTTTTAATGACAAGTGACGAAAGTTGTAGTAAAATTAAGTTTCAAAAATCTAACATCATTAAGTTGGGATTTAGATCGATAAATCTGTCTTTAATGAATTAATTTTTCTTGATTGCTATCGCGACTAATTTTTATGTTTGCAGTAATTGACATCTGATAATTTATTTTGCTAATTAAAAGACAGAGTAGCATAGATACAAACAACACCCAAACAAAGAAATAAAATAACAGTTTTATTTATCATTTTTATTTTATTGTATTTTTTTTTTTTTATCTACATACAGGGTGTCCTTCGAGTTGAAAAATTCCATTAATGACCTTTAAATGGTGAAATCTAAAAAAATGCATAGGACATTAAATTTTCAACCATATAGCATGTCTCAAAAATAAGTTAGATACAAGCTTGTGTTTTTTTTTAAATGAAACACCATATGTTTCTTAGCGTTTTTGGATGTAGCCTTTTAAAACATTGTTTTTACGCTAAACTTTTATTAGTCGATTTAGCTTAGTTTTAGAAATAAGACGTTTTTTTACGAAAACATGCACTTTTTAAAAATTTATTACACAAAAACTAAGACGGCTAGAACCATTTTTTCCTACTTCTGCAAAGAAGAAAGTACAGAATTTAAAGCTGTAGCAATTTTTTAGTGTTTTGCATTTGTAAAGATTAATAAGTTAAGAAGTTTGTTAAAAGTTAAATAATGTCACGTGTGTGACTAGTGGACGGGAGCAATATTAAAACGATGGTAGTTTTTCCTAGGAGTATATTACAAGCTATTAAATGTGATGTACTTACAGAAGTATTTCTTTAAACATTGTCCGGTCGGCCATATGTCACCACGATCGACACTCAATCATCGACTGTCACTTTTTCGCGACCTCGCAGCCCGAACCCCCAAGAAGCTGACTTAGCTATTGCTTCATTAGGTATTGGCAATACCCAATTCAGCAATAGCTTGCAACCGCGATAGGGTGTTCGACCTAAAAGGTGGCTGAACTTCCTGTTTGTGACAATAACTTAAAAAAAAAAAAATAGAACACTCTAGTTTTTATTTTTGCATCTAATAGATTGATAAATTGTTTATCTAAAAAAATAAACTTTTAATGTCTAGAATTGATAAATGAAAAGATATTTAACATTCAATATTAATTGTAGCAACAATGCTTATCAATATCTGAGCTATGGCAACCATAGTAATTCTATCACGGATCACTTATCCGTTGATTTATCCACAGAGATTGTAAAAATCGTTATAAATACTGAAATTCGAATTATTTTATTGTAAAAATAAAGAAAAATGGATTCAGTTTAACACAAATGTGATTATTAAGTGATATTTCTTCCATCTCTTGTGCAACTGTGCACTTTTTGTTTATTGAAACAATAGTATTTTTTTTTAATATTTAACGTTAAATATCTTTTTAGTTATTAAATATAAACATCTAAAAGTAAATGATTTTTGAAAGACAATTTAATAATATTTTAAATGCAAAAACAATAAATAGGGTGTTCAATTTACCTTTTTTTACTTTAGTGACTTTTAACAAACGCCTTCATTTTTTTATCTTTGCAAATGCAACATACTTAAAAAAATGTTACAACCTTATAACTTGTACCTTCTTCTTTGCGATAGTAAAAAATTTTTCTAGATGTCTTATTTTTGTGTAATAAATTTCTAAAAAGTGCATGTTTTCGTCAAAAAAACGTCTTATTTTTAAAACTAAGCAAAACGACCAACAAAAAAAAAACATTGTCATAAAAATCTACATCCAAGAACGCTAAAACGCTAAAGAACATATGGTGTTACATTTAAAAAAAAACAAGTGAAAATAATTTTAGGCGATGGACTAGATTAGTATCTTTTAATGTCCTATATAATTTTTTTATTTTACCATTTTAATGGACTTTTGCAACACGCTGGGACATCCTGTATATTTAGCTCAAATAATGGCCAAAAACCTTCAAGTTGCGTGAAATTTGGTTGTTTTGCCGTCTAAAAATGCGATTTTTTGGGAAAACAATCGAATGGGCGTATTGTTTTGCTGAGATTAACTACTTGTAGAACACAATGACACGCTTTCTACACATTCGAGAGATAATCGAATGTAACTGGGGAGGGTCAGGGTCACAATCTCCTTACCCGAACCTGCTCAAATTAAAAATTTACGGTCGAAATATAGCCGGCGCCAAATTTTTTTCGTTCGTTGCCAATAAATACCATACATAAATGTTATCTAATTTAACACTTGGTATTTTTTTCCAGGACGAATTAGAAGCCCTTAAATCAAAATTGGAAAAACTCGAGACTGAAAGAACGACATTAAAACACGAAAACAACAAACTGGAAGCCAAGGTGAGTAGTTCTTTTGAGGTTTTATCATTTCTTCGGTCGGTTCAACAACCTTGGTATCGGAGCCAAGATTTTTAGGGCGCTCGCCCAAAACATCCTGCAGTTACTGCAAGACAATGGACGCCAGATTAAAAATTTTTTGGATCTAAGCCAGAATTAAATTCGGGTGTTTTTTATTTTTTAAACTACGAACGGAAATGCTGTTTACTGTTTATTATTACGTGAAACGATTCGCCTATAGGTGAGTTCTGGAAATTTTATTAATGAGGCAGACATTTCACTGCTTAATAAATTAAATGATAAGCAATTGCGAAATACTACTTTATTAACCGTTAACGATGAACAAATTGACTAAAAGAATACTTACTTAAAAAGCAGAAAATAACATTTTGTTGGTTTCTCTTTGTAATAGCGGGTAATCGTAATAAAATCGTTTTATAGAATGCCGTTGCTTTTATGTTATTTAAATAGCAGAAAATGTTATACAATTGTGCGAAATCAATTTCTAAGGTGAAATGAGGATTGATTTTAAATTGTGGAAATTCCAGTAATTCCATTGTTTTCAGATTAATTTCTATAATTTCTGAATTTCCTTCTTCATTTTCGTAATTCCAAATTATTTTCGATAGTTTTCTTAATATTCAACGTAATTTTGAAAAGAAATTTTCAATAGTAATATCCCGAGTGCACGCCAAATTGTTAGTTTTTTTTTTGCTTGAATTTCAACATTTTTTGTGATAATTATGTTGCTATTTTGGCAACATTGCACAAAATTCCAAAGTGTCTGTGTGAAGTAAACATTCTTTCATTGTCAAGTTTCCCTTTTAGAACTATTTGCTACTTACGGTCTCATTTGTTGCAATTTATTGCGTCTTGTTGGCAAACCTGTAAGAAAATTCCTAACTGCTGCATTCTTTTTTTTTTTTCATTTAATTTCAGCAAAAAATTAGTTACAAGTTTTCAATTTGTAATTTGTAAAAACTACAGATTAGTTTCCGATGAAATGCTCTAATTGTTTAAAATCCTTTTTCCTTTGAACAGAAAAGTTTTTCTACCCAAATTTCCGAAAGGAAAGTGACCGATTACCTCCCAGAGAGGTAAAAATTTTCTTCTCTCATCTGTCAAAATTACATTAAAAATATACGTATAGGGTGTCCCAGCAAGTTGAAAAAGTCCATTAGTGACTTATAAATAATAGAATTAAAAAAAATATATGTAGAACATTGATTGATATTAATTAAGTGTATCGCCTAAAATTATTTTCAACTATACAGCGTGTCTCAAAAATAAGTTACAACACAAACTTGTGTTTTTTTTTTTTAATGAAATACTATATATTTCTTAGCGTTTTTGGATGTATATTTCTGTGACAATGTTTTTAAGCTAAACTTTTATTGGTCAATTTTGCTTAGTTTTAAAAATAAAACGGTTTTTTTGACGAAAACATGCACTTTTTAAAAATTCATCACACAAAAACTAGGACATCTAGAAATATTTTTTTTACTACCGCAAAGAAGAAGGTACAAGCTATAAGGTTGAACATTTTTTTTAGTGTGTTGCATTTGCAAAGATAAAAAACTTAAGGCATTTGTTAAAAGTTCAATAACTTAAAAAAATTAGTGGAAATTTTATTGTTTTTGCATTTGAAAGATTATTAAATTGTCTTTTTAAAATTAGTTACTGTGTTTATAATCAATAACTAAAAAGATATTTTACGTTGAACATTAAAAAACATAATTACTAATGTTTCAGTAAGCAAAAAGTGCACAGTCACAAGAGATGGAAGAAATATCACTTAATAATCACATTTGTGTTAAACTGTATGCATTATTCTTTATTTTTACAATAAAATAATTTGAATTTCAATATTGATAAGTGATCCTTGGTGGAATTACTATGGTTGCCATAGTATAAACAATGTTCAGATATTGATAGTCATTGTTGCTACAATTAATATTGAATGTTAAATATCTTTTCATTTATCAATTCTAGACATTAAAAGTTTATTTTATTAGATAGACAATTTATCAATCTATTAGATGCAAAAATAAAAAATAGAGTGTTCTATTTAATCTTTTTAAGTTATTTAACTTTTAACAATCTTCTTAATTTATTAATGTTTACAAATGCAAAACACTAAAAATTTGCTACAGCTGTACTTTCTTGTTTGCAGAAGTAAGAAAAAATTTGTTCTAGTTGTCTTGGTTTTTGTGTAATAAATTTTTTAAAAGTGCATGTTTTCGTCAAAAAAACGTCTTATTTCTAAAAAACTAAGCGAAATTGACTAATAAAAGTTTAGTAAAAAGATTATTTTAATAGGGTACATCCAAAAATGACATACGGTGTTTCATTTAAAAAAACACAAGTTTGAACTTATTTTTGGGACATGCTGTATGGTTGAAAATAATTTTAGGTGATGCACTACATTAGTATCTATCAATGTCCTATAGTTTTTTTTTTTTAATTTCACCATTTAAAGGTCACTAATGGACTTTTTCAACCCGCTGGGACCTCTCAGGGAGGTAAACGGTAAAAACATGTTGCTAGTTCGTAGAAAAAATTATATGTATTACACTGAAGGAGAGTGTCTTTCTCTCTTAGTGGTTATTGTCGTAGACTTCCCACCTTTGGGAGGAAAAGATACACTTTTCTCCCTACAAACGAGTTGTAAACGACTGTTTTAATTTGTGTTCTCTCGACACGATTTGGAATTTGTAATTTCGTCAAACCACTTGTAAACCCGGAAACCACCGCTTTTACATATCCCTGTGACATAACACGTGCACATTTCGAATTTTACAACTCGGAATGAATCGTTCTAATTTTAAAACTGTAGCAGTTTTAGTACCTCCGCCGACCATTTTAAAATAACATACGGACTTTAAATCGCCAGTAGCGTTTCGCTTCTCGCCGCGTTTGTGTTTTTCTTTTCCGAAAACCGTCAAAAAAACTGGGGAAAAAATGCCGTTAACTCCGTCCAACTTCTCTGCTTCTTCATTTTTTCGTTCGTCGAGTCTCGGCAGTGATTCGTTTCCTTTAAGTTCATCGTCGAGTTTATCAGGTTTGCCACCACCACCACCATCACGAAGAATAACCCCAATTCGTCGGGGTTTCACCGATTCGCAGATGATGTTCGAGACGAGACCGTTGAGGAATTTGACAGTGGTGTCACGATCACCATCGCCGTGTTCAACAACGAGTAGTACCAGATCGAGTGTGCCGAGAAGGATTTACCCACAAGTCGGAATCAGGTCGAAAGTGGAGGAGTTGAACGGAAAAGAGGAGTCACCAGTGATTTTCGATGTGAATTTAACATTTGTACTGGGTTGTAAGGGGAAATTAAGACAGAAAGTTAGACCAGTGCCGGCACACCAAGAAGCACAAACCGCTTCGAATTTATTAACAAATAAAATTGATAATTTTTTGAGAAAAACAGATCATGTGATGGACGAATGGAAGAGATTAGGGAAGAAAGATGATGATGGGTATTATGAGAGAAAATTGCGAGCGGGGAGGTCGAGAAGTGCTACAAATATTTTGATAAAAGGGTTTCAGTTGTTTAGTAGGTCGAGTAGTTGTAGTCGGTCGTCAGTTGCAAGGGATTATTCGCTTGAGGACTGCACCGAGGCAGAAGCAGACGAGGTATATTGTCTACAATAAAAAATTAATTATTTTATTCGAGAACACAAAATAAAATGACATGAAAAATAAAAAAAAAAACAATTTTTGTACGCTAATTTAATAATTAACATAATAATTTATTATTGTGTGTTAATTTCAATTTTTTTTCTGTTTTGAGAGTCCCTTCATTCTCTGCATACATTTTTTTAAATCTGTGTAAGCCTGTTTTTAAGTGTTTCTACTTTTATTTGAGTTTTTTCAAGGGACCAAACACAACGACTACAATAATGGGAATGCCGAAATTTTATTAATACATTAGAAAACTTTTTAACTTGAAATACACCTGAAAATCTAAGGCACGCTTAGGTCTATTTGTCCTTAAATCAGGACATAAACGTAAAATAGGACAATATAACAAAAACCCAAATACAGGGTGCGTCAGAACTCGCGTCCCAGAGAAAATTTTCAAGTAAGGTAAGATACCAGGAACATGAAAAAATGTTCTATCTGTCAAAAAAATTTTGCCATTTTTTTATGTCTATTTAATGATACTGATGATCTCGTATTATTTTTTTACAATTATTTAGTAAAGGTACAAAAATTTTGCCATTAAAAGCCACAAATAACATTAAACAGAGTTATTTTTTTAACAATTTTTCTATGTTCTTGGTATTTTACCTTACATTTTCCTCTGGAGCGCGAGTTCTGGCGCATCCTGTATACATTGAAAATGTATTTGGACATATTATATCCAGTGCCGTAGGAAATTTACTAATGAATTAAAAAATTTTTTTTTTGGTTTTTACCGTTTTATTTTTACGCATTAATAGTAGAATTTATCAAAATAATTATCTACTTTAATTTTTTTTTTTGATAAAAAATATTTTTATTCTTTTACATACAGGATGATAGCCTATAGCAAAAAACTAGGAAAATTGAGTCAAACTTTAAACGCTCATAACTTCGAAATTTTTATAGAAAAAATTTTTTTAACATTTTTTCCATGTTCCTGGTGTCTTACCTTATATGGCATTTTTCTCTGGGGCACGAGTTCTGGCGCACCCTGTATGTCCTGGATAAATCAGAACGGTTGGTCACTTTAATCTACAAGAAATGTTAATAACAATAATTTTGGGTAAAACAAAGGAGACTTGTCCAGAAATTAAGAAAAAAAAATTTGACACCAATTAAAATTTATAAATGAAAAATAATACTTTATTCATCTATTGTGATAAGAGAAAAGTGATGTAATTAATTTAAGCCCCCTTTATTTTGACAAAATCTGATAGTCTCCAATAGTCTCACCCACTGTCTTTTGCAACACGATCTTTTAAAAAAGTCTCGATTGACATTTTTTTTAATTTAAGCATTTCGAGATTTTTAAATGTTTTTTTGCAAGTCTAGAAATTTTTTAAGTCGATATTTCTTGACATTTTTTTAGTCTCCCCAACTGTCTTTTGTAACACGATATTTTCAAAAGTCTCAATTTACATTTTTTAAATTTGAGCATTTCTATTTGAGAAAATTTTTAACGTTTTTTTTGCAAATCTAGGTATTGTTTAAACCGGTATTTCTAGACACTTTCTTAGTTTCCCCCACTGTCTTTTGCAACACGATGTTTTAAATAGTCTCGATTGACATTTTTTAAATTGAAGCATTTTTTAAGAAATTATTAAATGTTTTTTTGCAAGTCTAGAAATTTTTTAATTCAGACATCTGACACTTTCTTAGTCTCCCCAACTGTCTTTTGTTGCACGATGTTTTGAAAAGACTCGATTGACACTTTAGTAAATAAAAATGAAACCATATTGACTAGTGTCCTAGCTAAATCAGGATGGTTGGTCACCTTAATCTACAAGAAATGTTAAAAACAATAAGTTTGGGAAATTAAAAGAAAAAAAAATGATACCAATTAAAATTTAGAAATGAAAGATATTACTTTATTCATCTATACGTATTGTGATAAGAAAAAACTAATGTAATTAATTTAATTCCGTTTCAAATCCACACAGAAAATAGAATTTGTGTTGTAATTGGGCCAAAAATCGTCATTTGTATTACAAGGAGCTGAAATTGATTCTCCAATTTGGTTATACGTTTGTTTTTTTTTTTCTGAAATTGCATCAAAATTTGAAAAACAATGAAACTAACATTACAATTTACGGATGATTTCAATTAATGACATATAGGTCCGGAAAAGTACTATTTTACAGACAGAGAAACGTTTTTTAAAACAGAAAAAAATAAAAGCGACAGTTTGATAGTGAATTACCAAAAACCTTAATAATCTACAAATTTTGAGTGTTTTTATTTAGAAAATAATTGAATATCGAGTTACTGTCAGTTTTGATGGCGGTGCGCCAATAACGCATTTGTTTCACAAGGCCGTCCGACGTAAATTTTAAGAGAAATCGACCAAAACAAATCCAAAACACGAGTAAAACTCATAATAGGGGAATTCCTCTAATCATGCGAAAAAATTTTACTTTGATGTGTTAATTTCTTGACTCAACTTCCAGAATTAAAGTCAGCTTTTGCCAAATGGCTATAATTCTTCTAAACAGGAACTTTTCTTTTTTATTTTTTTGCCAGTTTTCATTGTTTTCTTGTCACAAACACTCGAAAAAAATCTGGTGAGGATGTCGAAAATTAAAGTAAGTTTGATTTAATCATGACGTCATTTCCGTGTGTGTTTATTGGATTATGTCAGGAGAAACAAGCTTGCACACACACATTGAAATAATTGTATTTTTGTCGGTCCACATTCTCTAAATGGCCGATTGACCTGATAAACGTATAACGTTATTTTTTACCACAGTTGGAACACGATTTTTTCATTTATCTAAAAACACCTACTTGGAATGTTATGTTATCACTCATCACCGTCCTTGACCCTTGCATTTTATCACAATGTGTGTTTCCTTGTTCTTTAGCTGAGCGAGATGACGGCCGATTTAGCCGAAGAACACTCGACGTCGACGTTGGCCACGGAGCGTCTCGACGCTGAGACGTCAGAACGTATCCGTCTCGAACGTGAACTTTCCGAAGTCCAACACAAGAACAAAGAACTTCAACAGTCGTCGGAACGTTTAGAAATGGAACTTTTATACGCCCGAAGTGACTTGAATGGCATCTCTGAAGAAGATGAAGATGGCGATGTTGATGGTGGTGTCTACAAACAACGCTATGAAAGAGCAATCCGCGAATTGGAGTTTACGAAACGTAGACTACAACAACAACACGAAGACGACTTGGAACAACTTGTGGGGTTGAAAAAACAACTCGAAAAGAAGGTTTGTTTGATTGAATTATTTCTTCATATGACTTTTTTTTTGTTATTACAGTTGACGGATGCGTATGAAGAAGTTGAAGAACAGAGACAAGTCGTGGGACAGTGGAAGAGAAAAGTACAGAAATTGAATGGAGAAATGAACGATTTGAGATTATTATTAGAGGAACAAAATGCGAGGAATAATTTATTGGAGAAGAAACAAAGAAAATTTGATTCGGAAACACAACAATTGCAAGAAGAATTGAAGAAGGAAAGACAGGCGAAAGAGCGACTCGCAAGAGAGAAAGAAGTTATCATGGCGGAGAAATACGCCATTGAAAGTAGCCTAGCGGTAAATTTAAACTCTTTTTTTTTTTCATTCTACAGTGTGTTCCGTCTAAACCCCACATTAAAAGTATTGGGAGGTCGAATAATCATATTTGTTTGAAAATTGGTACATACTCATAAATGAAAATATTTTGAAGATGGCGGCACTTCCGGTTATACCGGAAGTCGGTCTCAACTTTCTTATTTTAAATGGAAAGGTGTATTTTTTACTGCGTTTTTGGATTAATCGGTTTATTTTAAGGGAGTTTTCATCAGCTTTCCCTATACTTACACAGGGTGCGCCAGAACTCGCGCCCCAGAGAAAATTTTCAAGTAAGGTAAGATACCAGAAACATGAAAAAAATGTTTAAAAAATTCTCTCTGTCTAAAAATTTTGACATTTATTTTTTGACATTTGACATTTTTTATATCTATTTAAAGATACTGATGATCTTGTATATGTTTTTTTATAATTATTTAGTAAAGGGACAAAAATTTTGATACTAAAAGCCACAAATGACATTGAACAGAGTTACAATTTAGGATACAGCTTCCTTGTTTCCTCTTTTAATAGCCTATAGCAAAAAAACTTGGAAAATTATTTTTCCAACAGAAATAAATAGAGTCAAAGTGCAAACTTTAAACCCTCATAACTTCGAAATTTTTATAGATAAATTTTTTTTTGCCTTATATGCGATTTTTCTCTGGGGCGCGAGTTCTGGCGCAGCCTGTATTTAGCCGTTTTTGAAATATTTCGAGTTTTTCAAACATATTCCAATTACTTCAAAAACGGCTAAATTTAGGCATAGGGAAAGCTGATGAAGACTCCCTTAAACTAACCCGATTAATCCAAAAACGCAGTAAAAAAATACCTTTCCATTTAAAATAAGAATGTTGAGACCGACTTCCGGTATAACCAGAAGTGCCGTCATCTTGAAAATATTTTCATTTAGGAGGACTTAGTGGTTTATGGCTATGTACCAATTTTCAAATAAATACAATTATTCGAACTTCCAACACTTCTAATGTGGAGTTTAGTCGGAACACCCTGTATAACTTATTTATCTTTAGGACACCCGTCTTGAGTTGGAACTTAAAGATGAGAAATTGAATTCCCTCCAGCGTGAATTGGACGAAATCACTTGTAGTGGTAAGACGGAAGAAGAGGTGACTCAACTCCGACGCCAAAAAATCGAATGTGAGCGTCGTCTTCAAGACCAAGAAGAAGAACTTGATGAATTAGCCGGTCAAGTGCAGCTTTTAGAACAAGCAAAATTACGTCTGGAAATGTCATTGGAATCGATGCGAAAAGAATCAAAGAAAGAAGCACAAATGCGTGATGAAGAACTGGAAGAAGTTCGTTGTAACGCTCAGAAGAAAGTCAAAGCATTGGAAGCACATTTAGAAAACGAACACGAAGAAAGAACACAACTGTTGCGAGAAAAACACGAATTGGAACGAAGACTAGCGGCGGCTGCCGAATCGGAACGTAATGATCGGGCCGGTGATGAGGCACTTCTTCACAGATTGAAAAGGGATTTGAAGAGGACAAAAGTATTGTTGAGGGACACTCAAACGCAATTGGAACGACAAAAAGCCGATAATCCGGGAAAAGCAATGATAAGACAATTGAAAAACCAACTTGAAGATTTGGAATGTGCAAGGGCATTGGCTGTTAAAACAAAACAAAGTCTTGAAGCAGATTTATCTGAAACTCAAGCCTCTTTAGAGGAAGCAAACCGAATGAGGCATGAAGCTGAACAAAAAGTCGTTGTTTTGACGCGAGAAAAGAGCGATCTTCAAAGTCAAATCGAAGAAAATGAGGAGGAATTAGCTGAAGTACTTAAGAAATACAAAGCGGCTGTGCAACAAATGTCACTTGATCAGATTGCGTTGCAAGAACAAGTGTCATTAGTGTCGGAATTGGAAGTTGAACGTAACCATTTGAAAGAACAGTTGGCAGAACTGACAACTAAATTAGAGTCGGTTGAAAGTATGGGTGATGCGTCGTCGAATCTTCTTGTTAAAAGGTGGGTGTGAAACTATCGATTTGACAAAATATTGTTGTTTTTTTTTTACAGAACTGAACTTAAGGTAAAAGAATTGGAGTCGAAACTGGAACTTGAGCAAACCACCAGAGGTCGTCTCGAAGTCCAAATAACCCGTCTGAAAGAGGCCGTCGATAAACTCCAATCGGAATTGGCAACAGCTCGAGTCCGTGAGCAACAAAGCCAAGACCAGATTAGAAAATTGCAACGAAATTTACGCGAAGTGAAAGAAGCACTTAATGAAAGTCTAGTAAAAGAATCGGAAGTGATACAAAAGAAGAAAGAATTGGAGAAGAGATACGAAGCATTAGAGGCTGAAACGTCAACGGCGAGAACAGACTTGAAGTTGGCATTGAAACGTATTGAAGACTTGCAAGCGGCCATTCAAGGGGAGCTTGATAATAGCACGTCGGATAATTCAGACAGCGAGCAAGATACGTATAGTTCGGACGAGTCTGTGAGCACTTTCTTGGCCAATAACAAGTCGTTGAATGATTTTAAATCGACGAGCAGTCGTTCGAGTACTGTGGGAAAAGACTCGTCGTATGCCTGAGTGGCGGCGAATGTCTGTCGAACGATCTCAATGACGTTCTGCAGACAAGAGGATGATGAAGTCGCTTCTGATTATGTTTGATCAGAAAATGTTTATTTTTTATTGTGATATAAGACTGAGATGATTTCGAGTTTTTATACAACTGTAATCGTACTTAAAACGCTCTCAAGATTTATTAGTAATCAAAAGAAAGAAATGTTGACGCAATCAAACTCCTTAGAAGGGGCCAGGTTTATTAATAATAGTTTATTCAATTGTTTTTGTTTTATCAGTTGTAATTATTTGTGTATAGACGATTTTTATTGAAGAAACAAAAATCGTTGATATATTCTTTATAGACATGTACTGTATATACGCTTCCCACACTGACACAATGTTTATAGTAATCGGTCAATGTATTATAGCAGTTGAAACGTAATAAGTGTTAGGTTTTAAATTTTTTAAGTCTCTTCTGTACCTAGACATTTTACCATATTCTGTATTATAATTTCAATGTTGTGGAAATATATTGTTTAAAAATATATTGATTTGTTTTATTTACATTCTTTTTTCTCTGTGACCCTGTTACTGCTAATACCTATTTTTTAAATTTGTTTATTGCGAAAATTTTTATTGAAAAAGTATCAGGAGTAAGAGCACAAAGAGATTAAAAAACCTGCCAAAATTGCTCTTTACGTTTTTGTGATCCTGTTACTCCTGATACTTTTACAAAAAAAATTGAAAATTTCGCTAAAATACGCAAAATTTTGGAAAAGAAAAACACAATTTTTAAGATTATCAGGAGTACTAGGATCACAGAAACGCAGAGGTATTTTGGCGGGAAAAGTAAATTTAAAATTCTACGAAAAATACCTCTTGGCACTCCTTTAATCCTGTTACTCCCGATACTTTTTAAAAATCTGTTAATTTTCGATAAAAATCATGGCGAAATTTTTGACTGCAAATTTTTAAAATTATTAGGAGTAGCAGGAACACATAAACGTAAAGAGGTATTTTGGCGGGAAATTTAAAATTCCCGCCAAAATACCTCTTCGCACTCATAAGATCCTGTTACTCCCGATACTTTTTAAAAATTCGAAATTTCGATAAAAATTGCGAAATTTTCACCAAATTTTAAAAATATCAGGAGTACCGGATCACAGGAACGCAAAGAGATATTTTGGCGGGACATTTAACATTCCCGCGAAAATACCTCTTCGCACTTCTATGATCCTGTTACTCCTGATACTTTTTTAATAAAAATTCAAAATTTCGCTATAAACAAAAATTTTGAAAGTATCAGCAGAGTAACAAGGTTGCAGAAATGAAAGCGCGTTTCTGATGGAGTCCTCTTTTTTATGGAAAATTAAAACAAATCAGTATATTTTTAAACAATATATTTAAACAACAGTGAAATTATAATACAGAATATGGTAAAATGTACTGAAGAGACTTAGACACCGCCATCGCTGTCTTCATCTTCTTCCGAGATGCCATTCAGGTCACTTCGGGCGTATAAAAGTCCCATTTTTAGACGTTCGGACGACTGTTGAAGTTCCTTGTTCTTGTGTTAGACTTCGGAAAGTTCGCGTTCGAGACGGATACGGATCTTCGCGTTTCTGTGGATCACAGAAATAGTCAGATTCAAGTAACAACGTTGAAAAATAACTTGTAGGAATTAACATAATAGTCGTTGTTTTAATTCCTACAAGTTCTACACCAGTCATTTTTCATAAATTTAATAAATATTGCAATTTAAAGTGTTACGTTTGAATTGGTAGTTTATGTTGGCAAAAAGCCCCCCTAGTGCGTGACATCCGCTCAAATTCAAATTCCTACGCCTCCTTACTAGCAACCTAAACATACTAAAACCCCCAATTTGAGAAATCTTAATTTTATCACAGAAATTACGCCCAGTGTATTAATTTGACTCAAAATCGGTTATTTGAATATCGCAACATTTGACAATGTGTGCTATTTGGGGAATTTCGGCAAAAATAGAAAAAATGTAGTGACATTTCATTCAAAGATGTCGCCACAAGTGCATTTGACGTTTCAAAATTTTCGCATAACCAAATAAGGGATTTCTGTCTTATTTCATGAACTAGATATGTGGTGCATCTAAATAACGTTTGAAAAACTCGCAATTTAAGCAGCAATCGATGTAAATAGTCCATTCGTACGTTGGCAATAAAGTGAAATAAAGGTGAGTGTATTTTTCTGCCCCTGAAAACATGACGTTTTTAGGTTATGTTTGCTTTGTGATAACCCGCCCCGTTTCAGATGTCTTTCCGTGTAGTCCGTAGTTCAAAGTTTCGTCACGTTTACGGCCAGGCCCTTAAAAGGGAGCAATGCTATGATAACATAAGAGTCAGTAAAAGTTCATGGGACGCGACTTTTTGTGCCGTCAACCCGAAATTCCTCGCAATCATCGTTGAAAGCGCCGGCGGAGGCGCCTTCATCGTCCTGCCCCACAACAAGGTACCCCAACGTTGCCCCCAAAATTATTCAAAAAACGCCTCAGAGAAAGTGTTTCATGAATTTTAAAAACCTAGAAAAGCGTGTGATTCATTCAATGCACCGATTTATATTTAGTCAGTGGCTATTTTTACACAAAAACGGTCTAAATTCAGTTTTTGAAAGCTTGCCAAACTGTTGCAATTTTCATACTTGACACGTTTTTTCAGGTTGGACGACTCGCCGCCGACCATCCCCTAGTCGGGGGGCACAAGGGACCCGTCCTCGACATCGCCTGGTGCCCCCATAACGATAATGTCATCGCGAGCGGATCAGAAGACTGCGTTGTCAAAGTATGGCACATACCTGACGGGGGGCTCATCAAGACTCTCACCGAACCGGTCGTCGACCTCATCTATCACCAAAGACGCGTGGGGCTAGTCCTCTGGCATCCCACAGCCCTCAATGTACTTCTAACCGCCGGGAGTGACAATCAAGTGGTTATTTGGAACGTCGGTAAGCCCCCCCACAAACCCCAAAACTCAACCGAACCTAACATTGCCCAATTTCAGGCACCGGCGAAGCCCTAGTCAAAATTGATTGTCACCCTGATATCGTCTACAGTGCCTGCTTTAATTGGGACGGATCCCAACTATTGACCACTTGCAAAGACAAAAAGATACGAATTATCAATCCCAGGACTGGGGAGGTTGAATCGGAGGCGGTTTGTCACGAAGGTGAGCCCCCCAAATGACAAAATGTCACAAAAAGCAAGGTTATGTCAACTAAATGTCAAACTAAATAAATCAGTTCATCGGATGTTACCACTTGACACTTTTCGTGACATAACACCATTCATCGGATATTGACACTTGACAAATACGAGGGGTGTTTTAAAATAATTCAAATTTTAGGTTCAAAAGCCACCCGTGCCATCTTCCTTAGACATGGTCTCGTCTTTACGACAGGTTTTTCGAAAATGTCTGAACGTCAATACAGTCTTCGCACCCCTGACGCCCTCAATGAACCCATTGTGATGGTCGAATTGGACACTTCAAACGGTGTCATGTTTCCATTGTACGACCCCGACACGAATTTGGTTTATTTGTGCGGTAAAGGCGATTCTGTTATACGATATTTCGAGATAACAGCAGAGCCACCTTTCGTTCATTACATCAACACGTTTCAAACACCCGATCCGCAACGAGGCATTGGAATGATGCCGAAACGCGGCTGTGACGTCACCTCATGCGAAATCTCGAGGTTTTACCGTTTGAATAACTCGGGCCTATGTCAAGTTATAACAATGACAGTGCCGAGGAAATCCGAACTGTTTCAAGAGGACTTATATCCGGATACGTTGGGCGACAATCCGGCCTTAACGGCAGAAGAATGGATCGAAGGGAAGGATGCCGAACCGATTTTGATCTCGTTGAAAGACGGTTACAAACCGCCCGAATCAAAAGCAACGATTACAGTGACGAAAAGAAATATTTTGGATAAGGGCCAAGCGAAGAGTGGGAAAACGCAAAACGCGACACAAATTCCGGTAATATTTTTTGATGTTTTTTGTTGCATGTTTGACAATTTTTTGTAGGATAAGACGTTGCAAGAATTTGCAGATGAGATAAGAAAGTTGAAAGCAATGATTGTGAAACATGAGAATCGAATCCGGGCTTTGGAAGCTGAGGTGGCGTTGAGCAAAGCCAACGCTGATGAAGACGGGTCAGGTGGTGACGGTCTGAATGCCGGTCACCCTTTAGGAGACGACGAAGTATGAACAAAAGCACAAAAGTTGCCTTAATTTATCAAAGTGCTCAAATTGTTTGCAATCGCTTCTTTTTGATACATTACCTAAGTATAATATATTTATTTTATCATTTTTTTTAACACTTTTGTCATTTTTTATCACCCCAAAGTGCTCTTTAATATTATATACGATTGTTAATTGCATAGATATAGATATTATTTTCATGAAACGTTATATTTATATAGTTTATAATTTTTTAGGAGGGTTGTCGATGTGGCCTTTTGATTCATTACATGACAATAAATCGGGTTTTTACAAATATGTATATAAAGTTTTTGTGCAAATATGACGTGTAAATATACTGGCTTGACTGAAAGGCTACATTTGACAACTCTCTGTTGTGAAGTTTGTGTGTTCCATGTTTAACAACGAATAATGTAAATAAATGTATAAATATGTAATGCATTTGCAGATGAAAACTAATAATTGTTTTATTAGTATTTTTACAAATACAATTGAAAAGATTCTGTGTCTGTTAGTTATCAACAACACCCACGGTGATCTATACGAGGAAGTGTCAACAATTGCTTCACAATAAGAAAAATTGCTATAATGTTGTTAAAATACTACAAACATGTTCTTTATTTTAATTTTATTAGGAGAAGAATTAATCCCCAAAATAACCAAATTTGATTAAACTGATCCAAACCACATCCAGATCTAAACTTACCTAAACGAATGTTTGTTTCTTTTGCCCAATTTAAAAAATCCAGACTAACATTTGCTAAAACATTTGTATCAAAAAACAAATATTCGATGTGGCACTCTTTACATAAATTTTCTGAAATATTTTTCAACGGATTTCCCAACAAAAGAATCTGTTCAAAGGTTTTATTATCAAATACTTGTTCAGGTAAACTGGTTATCTGATTGTGTCTTAGATCTAACACAATTTTTTTTGCTTCGATTGAACTAAATGCATTTCGCTCAATCCGAGTAATTTTATTTTGCCCCAAAAAAAGTTTAAATTCACCAACTTGCTCAATCGTAATAAAATTAGCTCCCAATTTTTCCATTTCATTGATCGACATGTCCAAAAAATACAACTGTGGGACATGACAAAATGAGTACGGGCCTATTTCTCCTATTCTATTCTGAGACAAATTGATTTTTCTCAAATTGGTCAAATTGTAAAACGCTTCGTTTTCTAAAACTTCAATTTCATTACTGCACAAACTAATTTCAGTGACTTCCAGATTCACAAAAGTCCGTTTTGTTATTATGGTAAATGGGTTCGTCGATAACATAATTTCACTTTTAACATTTACATTTTGAAAAGTTTCGCTTTCAATTTCTTTAATTGAGCAATTCATAAACATTAACGTGTGAATCATTCTAGTAAGATTTAAAAAATCATTACATAAAACTCCAACTTTTTGCGTCGTTAGAGTAATTTTTATTGTTGATATGTTAGAATCAACACCAAAATTATCAGATATTGGGTATGTAATAACGGTATCCACATTTGTTATGTAATTAGACTCATTACCATTAAATTCTACCTTGTAGATTATTGGTTTCGAATTTTTAGGACAATTGAAGTCACATTTCACATGAAAAAAAAATAGAGAGAATAATGAGAACGTTATTAACAAAGACATTTTGCCATCTACCCAACCGTTTCAGTTTTCCATCTTTTATAATTTAAGGTTAAATTAAATATTAACGATAAAAGCATAATTACAAAAAATGTAATTTCATAACGTATAAAATATTACGTTCTTGCAATCAAAAAGATTACAAAAAAATGCATACTCTTAAAATAATTTTCCTGTGCATCTACCATTTCTGGCATTAACTTTTCGTAAAGGCCAAAAAAAAAAATATTACTGATTCATGAAATCACGGTAAGATTACTCTGTGAAAAATTTTTCATTCTTTTATTCCAATTCAACCAGTGGCGTAGTTAAACACTTTAATATTTTTTCAAATTAAACTTTTTCCCCACTAGACACCAAAATAATTGACTCGTTATTTTATAATTTCACAAGTGTTTAAAATTAATAACATTTACAGTGGTGGAATTGCATGGAATTGGGGCAATGAAAATGAAGAAAGTTGCGTACCGTGGTGGAATTGCACGGTTTTTTGAAAGAAATAGTCTCGTAGAATTAAAAATGTTTATTTTGTAAATAAGCATTTTTTTCGTGCTTTGAGCAACTCTGATGTTTCGAAAGTTGTGGTAAAAGCTTCTTTAATAAGTGGATTAATTGAAGAACAGTTAAAAAGTTGTGGATGTAGCAATTTTCGCTTTATTATGAATAAATTACACCATTAGTCTAATAGGCCCATTATTTTGAAAGATTTCACTATAAATACCGAAAACCATCTAAAAAATCGTATTCTCAATCATGTCTAAGATTATTTTAACATTCAATTCTCTCCTAATTTGCGTTGAAATAATAGCGACACTTTCGAATAATTGTGGTGTAAAGCAACTAATTAAATACGAAGTAGTCAAACTGGAAAATTTTGAATCAGAAAATTGTACCAAGTTTGTAGTAACATCGGAGAAAAATGAACGCGGTATCATCATCGCAAACCAAAATATCCCAATTCTTTGCAAATCAATGTTTAATATTCAGGAAAAAATTATGCACATAGAAATAAAGAGAAGCAATATTGAGAAAATTGAAGCAAATATTTTTCTCAACCAAAACATAAACGAGTCTATCACAATAACAGAAAACAGAATACCAATCATCGCGAAGCAAACTTTTGCAGATCTTAAAATAACTGCATTACTTTTAAATGAGAATGGAATTGAGATGATTGAAAATGAAGCTTTTTCGAATTTACCAAATTGCAGATATCTTGACTTAAGCAAAAACAAGATACAACGTTTCAATCCGCTGAATTATCATCAACTTCCCACATTAGCATGTTTGGGTTTACAAGAAAATAACATCACAAAATTAGAACCGAAAAGTCTCAGTTTTGTTGAAACGGATTATTTTAACATTGAGTTATATAATAATCAGATCGATCAGTTGAATGACGACTTTTTCACTGATTTCAAAAAAAGCAACTTGACTCTAAATCTTTGTAACAACTTGTTAAAAATACTGCCTGAAGGAATTTTCAACAATTACAGTTTCCAAAATATTCTTTTAGGACGAAATCCTTTAAGACAATTCACAGGAATAATTTGCGAAACTTGTTCCATACAGCGTATTTATTTAAGCAAAAACCAGTTTAAAATCTGTGACCGAAAATTTCTAGATTGGGCAAAATCAAAGAACATTGGTTTGGGCTTGGCAAAGCAATGTTCTGGAGCTACGGATTTCAGGAATAAAATAAACCAGTGTGAAGTGTTAACAATTATGTTGCTATATTTTTGTCAATTTATGGTTTTATTTTAAATTTCCCTCAAAAAACTTCATTTATTTTGATTATGTAAATAAGACAATAAATGGTTTGTTTCGTGTCAACATCCTGAAACGTCGTTGTGAACCTAAACCGTCCACTCCAAAACGGAACCGTAATCTCTTCGGTATCAATCACGAAATTCTTAAGCGAGTAATTCCCCTAAAATGGCTCATTGTATCCAACTTTGGAAAAACAAAAATACCAACCGCAGGAATGGGACACTTATCCGGATGTTTAATCCCTAAACTCCTATGAAACTGTACCCACACACTTCCAAAAAATTTAAGTATATAAGAGCAAATATTCGGTTGAAAGCCCATAAAAGGTATACCAATCCAACCCCCATCACCCCATCTTTCCACTGTAACGCTACCACCGATTTTCTCATCAAGTGGTCGACTATATGTAAAATCATAAGTCAGAGATTTGTGAGTTCGGTTATAACGCAAAAATTTAATGTTTCGAATGGGGCTCCCGATTTGTTTGTTGTTGGGACAAGCTAGAACGTTTTCCACCTCAACCTCATAGCGGTTTTTCATCTGGAATTTTGACCCTAAAATTCGGATTTTACACAGGAAAACTTACAAAAGCTGTGAGAGTTAAATGAAAAAAATAAAACACACAAAGGATGACCACCGCTTTGTGCATTTTAATTGGTACTAATGGGTTTTCGATGGGTGCTCTGCTCTTGTTATGGTCCTTAACGAGCCGGTTTATCGAAATTTGAATCAGATCATAATTATGATAAAAAAATGACATTAATTGTGAACTCTGTATGTACAGGGTGCTGCATTTTGGATGTCCGAATAGGGAATCTCCGAAACTAAGATGTTTAGCCAAAAACGAGTAACACATTCTGGGGCTCATTTTTTGAGAAAATAATATTGGTTAAAATCGCATCTTTTGTTTTCGACTTACAGACAAAAATTGACATTTTAGCGAAATCTAAAAAAATTCATATCTTCATTATTATAGAAGACACACACAGATTTGAAATAAAAACATTATACAGGCACTTTTTTACGTAGAATTTAATAATGTAGTTAACATTTTTTTTCAGTTGTTTGTTTAGCCGTGCTAGCCTCTCGCATTTGATATTGTTGAAAAGCAGATTTAATTTTTTATCAAAAAAAAGATACTTGTCCTACGTTAAATAGTTATCGAGAAAATTACTAATAAAGTCAAAAAACTCCAAAATATTAATTCAACTATAACTTCTAAACGATCAAGAATTTTGCAAGTTTCTCAATGCCAATCGATTTCTCGGAACATTTTACATATGTCTACGTCAAAATATATTGTATCATGAAGGTACAGTTTTGCTGCAATTTACAAAATAAAAAAAGGAAAAATTTATGAATTTTCCAAAGTTATCACAACATCGAAAATAATTGAATTCAAAATGAGTTTTGGTTGTTTCTAAAATATAATTTAAGTTTCATTACCCCTACAAAATAATTTTGCCTGATTTTGTTCTCGCTGCGCCACTGTACAGGGTGCTGCATTTTGGATGTCCAAATAGGGAATCTCCGAAACTAAGAGGTTTAGCTAAAAAGGAGTAATACATTCTGGGGCTCATTTTTTGAGAAAATAATATTGGTTAAAACCGCATCCCGCTATCGTCTTTTGTTTTCGACTTATAGACAAAAATTGACATTTTAGCAAAATCTAAAAAAATTCATATCTTCGTTATTATAGAAGACACAGATTTGAAATAAGAACATTATACAGGCACTTTTTTACGTAGAATTTAATAATGTAGTTTCCATTTTTTTTCAGTTGTTTGTTTAGCCGTAATAAAATAAACTTGTATTTTTTTAAATGGGAATCATAGATGGCTATGTCATTTTTAAAAAGCTTGTTTTCTCTTATCTAAAAAATATATATTTGTAACAAATTATTATAATACATTTTTAGCAAAAAAAATCTTTGATTTTTGTTCGCAGTTGGTCATGAAAAAATGTTGCATCTTCAACTAAAAGGATTTAAAGTATATTATATTCAACCAGTGTCACTAATGAAAGAGTTTTCTAAGTACTAAGTGATGAAAAAGATGCAAAATAAATTGTAAATCAACTTATTGGCGAATAATAACATTTCTTTGTTTTTAAACAAGCTAACATTACCATTGCAACTTCTAGTGATACAAAGAGTGTTGTAAAAAAAAGCCGCTTTAATTCTTCAATAAAATATATTTTATATGACACAAAAACGACGATATGGTTATTCAAATACCCAAATTCCGTCAATGTGAAACGTTATCCTACCTCCATTAGATCACCAAAAAAATTGTGTTGACTGTTAACACATTTGTTTTTCCTATTTTTGGATTTTTTAAAAATATGTAATAATTTTGTTCTGTGGCGCTCTGATATTTGTTCAGTGCTTCTACCGTATCGTATTTTTTAAATCTTTATAATTTTATCTATTTTTTCATCTATTTTACAGTTCACAAAACTCTTATTGATTATTATGTACACATTTGGAGTGAAATAGTTTTTCCATGGCCAACTATTATAACACAAAATATGTATTTTACTTTTTAAGTATAGTTATAAAAAAATATTCTGTTACAAATATATATTTTTTAGATCAGAAAAAAATAAGCTTTTCAAAATTGCCATAGCCCCCTATGATTTCCATTTAAAAAAAAACAAGTTTATTTTATTACGGCTAAACTAATAACTGAAAAAAATAGTACTTTCAAATGCGTAAAATGAAACGAAAATAAAAAAATATATTTACAATTGCTAAAAAAGTGTATCTGGTAGTTATCAACTAATGGAAAAAGTGCTTTAGGTGCCTTTTATTTAAGATTTTAATTTTTCTGGCGACTTTTGTTTAAGAAATCTTGCTAGTAACTTTGGCGTTGTTGGGTTGGTGCTTTCAAACTAAGGTAATATGGCCGTCAAAAGTAGCAGTTCTGCTACATCATTGAGCCAAATAATTTAGCTAAAAATACCGTAAAGTGTTTCCCCCACAGCAGTGATAATTGAAAATTTAGTGAAATTGGACCTATCGGTGTAAAAAATACGGCCGATAATGAAGATAACAGTGAGAAATCTTTATCAAAAAAATTTCATTATTCACATAGACCCGTCTAAAACGGTACGCATTTTCCCCCCCGAAAATTCCTTTAAATCAAATTCCTTTCCAGGTCAAAGACTTAAAACAACAAATCGAAGCCGAAAAGGGTAAAGAGTACCGATGGGACTACCAGAGACTAATCTACAGAGGTAAGCATCACCGGCGCCATTTCCCCTCCAAACCAGCCCCTATTTCAGGTAAAATCTTGAAAGATGAGGCCCCATTATCCGAATACAACATCGACGAGGACAAATTTATCGTGATTATGGTCTCAAAACCCGACTCTGGTAGTACTGAAGTAGCCCCCAGTGGCGACAATTCCACGACTCAACCCAGGTTTGTGCCCCCTCTCAAACCCGCGCAACCTAACCCTGAAACTGTAGCTCGACACCTGCACCAGCCCCTGCCCCGGCAGCCCCAACTCCCGCCCAACCGGCTTCAAATCTGAGCAGCGAAGCGGAATCCGCCCTCCTAATGGGCGAAGAATACGAAAACATGGTTCAGAACATCGTCGACATGGGTTACCCCCGTGACCAGGTCGAGCAGGCCCTCCGCGCCAGCTACAACAACCCCGATCGGGCTGTCGAGTACCTCATTAATGGCATCCCGGCCATGGGGGAGGACCAGGAGGCAGCCCCCAGCATGTCAGGGATCGACGAACGACAGTCGGACGCTAGTGACCCCCTCGCCTTCCTGCGCAGCCAACCACAATTCCAGCAAATGAAACAGGTTGTCCAACAAAATCCCCAACTTTTGAACGCGGTTTTGCAACAATTAGGACAGACAAATCCTGCACTTTTGAACCTGATTTCACAAAATCAGGAATCTTTCGTCAGACTGCTCAATGAACCCTCCACGGGGGCTCCTGCTGCGACTGGAAATGCACCTGCCGGTGAGACACCTAACCTAGATTTGTGTACATACTTAATGTCGGTTTTTAGCCCCCGTAGCGGCACAGGGAGGTGGGACTCCGCCCCAGGGAACAACAATTCAATTCACCCCACAAGACAAAGACGCTATTGAGAGATTGAAGGCTTTGGGTTTTCCCGAACATCTAGTAGTCCAAGCGTATTTCGCGTGTGAAAAAAATGAAAATCTAGCAGCAAATTTCCTGCTGTCGCAGAATTTTGATGACTAACACGCTTTTTTGAGGTTATGTTTCGCCTAATTTTGTCATTATTTTTAAAAATTGTACTTTTGAAATAAACGATGTGTTTATTGTACGTATTTCGCTTGTAAATAGGCTGTTGGTATAAAAAAAAACAAGTTTTCTTGAATTATTTTGTAATATACTTGGCAGTAATGGAATTGATTTATTTATTCTGATTCGCATTTTTTACAAGCTTATCTCATGTAATAATTACAAATACGATAATTAATAAAAAAAACAGTGCAATGTTTTGTAGTTTCTTAATTTTTATCGATTTTTTAATGTCATAAATAACTTTTTATTGTTTTGGGGGGGTGACTTGACTTATGGCCATGTTGCCAAATTTACCGACAAAAAAAATTCGTCCCGTTCTACTTTCAATTTGTATCTCTCCGTCTCTGTCAAATATCGTAAAGCGGCAACATTGTTTGTTGGTAACGTGACCATCCGCTCGTGTTTACGGCGCTAGTGCGCACGCGTCCCCAAGGTAGTGTTGTGGGTCAATCGTGGAGTTTTTTTCTCGTTAAAAAAATCGCGAAAAAATGCCAAAAATCACTGAAACTGCCCCAAAATACAATCCCACGAACCGTTCCTAAACCATTCGGTTGTCTCACATACGAAATTGCGCACTTTTTCGTTTCTTCCAAGTGTTTTTTTTGCATACGTGCACTCCAGTGTGTCAATGATGGCGGCTTGACATTTCTCTGCACCGTCAACAAAACACGCGAATTGGTCGAAAAGTTATGAAATTCGTCGATTTTGAGTGATTTAGTTCACGTGAAGCCCCAAAAATGGCAACGGACTCGAACCAAAGATGTCCCAAGTAAGTCTCGCCAAAACCACCCCAAAAAAACCGGTTGATTTTTCCCCTTTTTTTGCAGAATTATGGTCTTTAGGCCAACTTGGGACGAATTTAAGGACTTTTCTCAGTACGTACAACACATGGAGTCGAAAGGGGCACACAAAGCCGGCTTGGCAAAAGTAAGACACTCTGTTTGTTGACATAACCTCACTTTGGGTTTAGGTGATTCCGCCCCCTGAATGGGTCCCCCGAAAATCCGGCTATGCTATCGACACACTCGACGTTACAATTCCAGCCCCTATTTGTCAAGTCGTCACCGGAAAACAAGGTCTGTACCAACAAATCAACATCCAGAAAAAATCCATGACCGTCCAACAATACTGTGAATTGGCCAATTCCGAACGTTATGCCACACCCAGACACTTTGATTATGAAGACTTGGAACGAAAATACTGGAAAAATATCACCTACGTCGCCCCTATTTACGGTGCTGATGTCTCTGGTAGTCTCACCGATGATACAGTCAATGAATGGAACATAAATCGTCTAGGGACAATCCTCGATTATGTCAATGAAGATTACGGAATTTCAATAGAAGGAGTCAATACGGCATATTTGTATTTCGGGATGTGGAAAACAACATTTGCGTGGCATACAGAAGACATGGATTTGTACTCAATCAATTATTTGCATTTTGGGGCACCCAAAACTTGGTATTCGATACCACCAGAACATGGCCGAAGATTGGAACGACTGGCAAATGGTTTTTTCCCCAGTAGTTACAAGACATGTCAGGCCTTCTTAAGGCATAAGATGACACTAATTTCGCCCCAAATTCTAAAGCAGTACTCAATTCCGTACAACAAAATCACGCAAGAGGCCGGCGAGATTATGATCACGTTTCCTTACGGATATCATGCCGGTAAGAATTGTGTAATGTTTGTTAAACTTTGTAAAAAAACAACTCAAAGGAATGAATTTTCTTTGAAGTGAAGTAAACTGTTAACAAATATTACCGCACACACTGAATCATCCAGTAATTGTGATAATAAGCAAATAATGATTCAATGAAAAATACCACAAAACAAAAAATTACAAATATTACCAACATAATTTGTTTTAATTAGATAAATTATTAATCAAACAAGAACTTTACCCTTTTTAATGTCCTTCCATGGCCTTGTTATTCGAAGAAGGTTGATTTCCTTTGATTTTGTCGATGTGGGAGAACACTGGAAAAAAATTAATAAATTATGGACAGAAGAGACAAAAATTAAAATCATTTTTTTTTGTTTAGGTTTTAATCATGGCTTTAATTGTGCCGAATCGACAAACTTCGCCTGCGAACGTTGGATCGAATACGGCAAAAGGGCCTCTCAGTGCACTTGCAGTAAAGACATGGTAAAAATCTCGATGGACACCTTCGTCAAACGCTTCCAATCCGATCGTTATGAAATGTGGTTGAAAGGTGAAGACATCGGTCCACATCCTGAAGAACCAAACAAACAAGTCGCCGCACCTTTGCCTCTCCCTCAAGACATCCTTTGTAATAAAAATAATGATTCTTTGCCGGCAGGACTGATCGAAGGTCAATTGAAGAAGGCCAAAAAGGCTGGCAGGATGATGAATTATACTCAGTGAGTGTTTTAGTTATTTTTTTTTTTTGAGGATTATCTCAAGTGTAAATTTCAGGGATTATTCTATGGTTGATTTTCCGGCCGAATTGCAACTCCAGTTGATGGAAGAGGACGACATGGGATACGTGAATGGGGAGTTTCCTCCCGATGAACAACAATTGGAAGTTTTGGAGGATATTTGGCTGAAAGCTGGTGAAATCGAAGCCGAAGACGCGTCAATCTGTGATGCCGGTTATCGTGTCAATAATCGTAGAAAATTCCTATCGAAAAAACGCAAACCGAAAGAACCACGTCCACGAGGTCGTCCTCCCAAAAAGCGTACTAAGGATGGCGAAGAAGAATCGGAATCAAATGAATTAACCGGAATTTACACCCCTTGTAACAGCCAAAGTAAGAAAGTCTGTGGACAAATTGTTGCACCTGTTGACACTTCTGAACTTGTTAAATCTCTCGTCGCCCAAGAAACCAATAAACTACTCCACCATAAAAAACACAAACATAAACACGATAAACACAAGCATAAGAAATGCAAACATAATAAATCGTCGACACAGACCAGTCCTGATACGTCAAACAGCGAAGTTAAGAAGGAAATCGACGATATTATACGAAAAGCACACGAGGAGCATGAACAAACAATTATGCAGGAACACACAGGGCCCCCTCAAGAAACACCACCGAAAAGCAGTCTTTTGAATGAATTGAAAGCTTTTCGAAAAGTCAAAGATTCAAGTGAACAGTTCCGAATGGAACAGAAAGTACAAACGATTCATACGTCGAAAGGGACTCTAACAGTGCTCGAATCACGACCGGTAGTTCCCCCGCCTGAAATTAAACCAGTCGAACGTAAATCACTCTACGAGGATGCTTTTCTCAATTTTCTTACGACGAAAAATAACGATAAACAAAAGAAGAATCCTGTACCAACACCACCACCACCACCACCGTCAGTAGTACCTGATTTAGCCAGCAGTTCGATGCCGAATTTGACCGAACCCGAGCCGGTTATTGTCGAACGTAGTGACCAAATGCCGAAATTGGATCCAGTACCTGTCGAAGAAGCCCCCACCGTGCAAGTAAGTCCGAATCCAGTGCCTCCAACATACACACCTCAAGGGTATTACCAGCGTAAGCCGAATCTGATTTGGAGTAACCACAAGTATTACACTGTGAATCATTGTACGACTACGTATTTGAACGAAGACAGATTTTATCCAATGACGAACAGTGCTATAAAACTCGATGAACCGATCGTACTTTTGGATAAAACGATCGACTTTGAGAAAAGTCCTTCCGAAAGTTCCGATTCGGATTCGGAGTGTTCATGCGAAACGTGTTCGTGTAGCGAATGCGACGATTCGGAACCAAATACCGAAATGAATGAAAATTCATCAAACAGTATTAACATACAAGAGGTTCCGGAAACTAACATAGTACAGAAGAGAAATCGACCGACGAAAAAATTAAGTTTAGAACGATTAAAACAGATAACTCAACATGTTTTGGGAATGAAAAACGGAGAAAAGTTCTATAATAATAAAATTGAAGCTTTGAAAAAATTGTTATTAGCTAGAAGACGTGGAAGGCCACCTAAGAAACCACTCTCATTGACCCAACTTTTAGAAGAAGTTGGTAAAAAGTGGTCGAGGAATAATAACAACACAATGACGGATTTCCATTCGTACAATAAGAAAATTTTAGACAAAATCGCCAAACTGACCCCACTAGAACCAAAAGTCAAATTAGTCGATGTCTTAAATAATTTTACTAATGATGTACAAAATTATCTCAAATCAGGGTTACCACTTTTGAATGTTAGTTCATTGTCATTGGATGGGAAAAAACCGGCTCGGGATGAAACCAATGATGAGTTTCCGATTAAATTGAAAGATTTAGTTTGGGCCAAACACCGTAATGGTCGATTTTATAAAGCAACAGTTATTGATATAAAAATAGTGACTTATTTTTGTGTTTATTTCCCGTTTGATCAAAGTTTCTGCAAAGACGCTGTTTTGTCGGATTTGGTTGATTGGGATGCGGGGAAAATACCGGTTGTAGGTCAAAAATTGCGAGTCAGGTGGAAAGATCGCACAATTTATGACGCTGAATATTTAGGAGAAAGCAACTGTAGCATATTTACGGTACGTTTTTTGTGTTATAATTATAACAAATGATTTATAAAAAATTACAGGTTTTGTTCGAGGACGAGTCTCGTTTAGAATTAAAAAGGGACTCAATTTTCGCAATGTGTGAGTCCATTCCGAAGAAAATTGCAATCAAATTTGTAATAGAGTAGATTAGGGTTGTTTTTCTGGTTTTGATGTTCGTTTGTTCCAGTCTTATGCTAGTGAGATGAGGAATAGGGAACATTTGTATGAGCTCGAAAGGCAACTGCCTGAGAAGAGACTGGTTAAAAAGAAATTCTTTAATTCAAAAGTTTGGATGTAAAATGTGTCGGTTAGGCAACCAAATATACCCGAGCGAGAGGCGGTGGTCCGAACATTTTATACCCTACTACTGAGTTTTTTAGATTTTATTAGTTTTGTTGTGAAGACTGAATCAATGTGTTGAAGCATCATTAATTGAAGTATTTTAATTATTTTTATTTCATTTATTATTGTGATTGATTTAATTGTCTACGTAAGGTCGATAGGCTTTATCATTAATTTTAAGTGTGATACATACTTTGTATTTATTTAACGAATACATGTACATAAGACGTTCTTTTATCCTCTTTAGATTTTTTTTTGAAACACTGTAATATAGGAGTAGTTGCATAAGAGTGTTGAATAAAATTTCTTCACGTTTATTGTAATAGTCAACGATCTACACTACAGCCCCTTCAAATTTCTCTAAACTAACAGTTCCAAATGAGTTAATTTAATTTTTAATTGTAAGAATTCACCCAAATCACGCAAGACAATTTTATCTTCATGGAAATGGCCAATATTCTCACTCGTTGAACAAGATACTATTGAATTACTTCAGTTTATACTACAGAGATTTTTTCAAGTATGTACAATTTTCTGTAAACAGACTTAGAAGTGCACTTTTATTTTTTCATTAATAGTTTTTTAGGTCGTGTATATGTTTTTGTTTTTTTTTTTTATTGTTTAAAGGATTTTTTAATTTGAAGACTGTAATAATGACAAAGTTGTTTTAATTGACATTGCCGTCTGCTTATTCGCCTATTCAAACAAATAGGAATATTTAGTAAACAAATTTTAATTTACGACGGAAAAGTGATAACTTTCCAACATTATTAATTCAACGAATTAATTTATTGATGATTATTTTTACAGATTTTATCTCTTGTTTACGTTACAATTTTCACACAAATTGGAGCGATTTGAACCTTGTTCCTACCAAAATAATTTCCACTGTAACAGTGGAGATAAATTCAAAACATTCCTCTTCTGGATTTTTCTATTTCACACAACAAAGTGGCGAATGTGAGACAGTTTTCCCTGATACTAAATTTATAAATAGTAAAAAATAGCTAACTTTAACATCGATGTATTTTAAAAGGTCCCAAATTACGCAACAGAATAAAACTTTGGTTTTGTGTTTTTTTCAGTCTTATCACTTTACGTAAACTACTTTTTGCATTATGGTAAAGTTCATGACACTTGTATCGCAGTTTTCAAGGCCGATAAAAATTTCTCTCCAGTGATTCCAACTCCAAATCGAAAAATCCTTCGTTCAATGATCAACCGTTCAAATATTTAAACAATTAGTTGGAATTTAAATCATTTTCCCTATTTACTCAAGAAAAATACTTTCCGATCATTCTCTCTGGTTCAAGGACCAGTGAAACGATTAATGAAACAATAATAAGATAAGACTGTTTGCTTGCCAACCTGAATTTTCTCGAGAAATTTCCTTTTTCCATTTTGACCTCTCGCTATCACTGTGATAAAAACCACAAAAATAATCATCTCAAGCCGGATTTGATGACAATCAAGATTTGTGTAATTCAACACTGTTGTGCAATTGGTACAGTGTGTTTCAGTTACCTGAAAAACCTGGCGTATTTTTTGAGAAAAATTCGTTGTTATTCAAATTCAATGAAAGAAAAACGAACGAACTGTGTGACCTGTGATCTTTCACTTTATTAATAAATCGGTGTAAACAACAATACTAAAGCTTTTCTTGTTTTATCTCGAGATATTTAAATTTTGAAATTATTAATTATTTCCATAAACCTTCTTCCGCATTAGCAACAATGATAAAAAAACGCTGTGCCACATTTTAATATGAATGAGGTTTATTATCCTTATTTTCTTAAATCACAACAACAATAATCTCTTATTTTTATTGTCACATTCGTTTTTATTTTTCTCTGTTTTGATAAAACTGAATTTTGTCGTAACGTTTGTCCACTTAAACAAATTTCCTGTCCATATGAGAAAACAAAGGGACATTAATTGGAAGATTACTTGGCCCTTCCGATGGAATTTTCCTCAGTTGAAGTTGTTATTAAGCAGAAATTTACATAATTTCGCGAGATAAGACATCGAGTTGAAAATTTCTAAATTTATTTTTGACCTGACGATAAAATGCGGATTGAAAATTAGTCATAAAACGGCTCCATAATACAGATTAGTTTATCCGAGTCAATATAATTATTTGATCTTAAAGTCCACCTGAAAAGAGTCATTGTTTCATTCGTTGTAAATAATTCTTTACTGACAAACAAGAATATCATCGTTATCGAGGGTCGAAGTAAACGATCTTTTAACGATGATTCTTTCTTGTATTCGCAAGATAAATGAAAGAATCTCTAAATTTGTTGGGTACAATGACCCAAATTTGGTGTTTTCCGCATTTTGTAACTTGTTTTTTTGGACAAAATTGTGAATAATTGTAACTTCTTTGTGTTATCAGAAATTTACTAGTAAATTAATCACATGAATCAACCTCCAACCTGTGTTATAACTCTTGGAGATTAGGAAGAGTGGCCTTAACCTTAGCTTCTTATCGCATTAATTCGCAGAAGCATTTTATATAATATGCGAAATCAATATCAAGCTTCATGATAAAATGAAAAGCCCTAAAAACGAAAACATGATAAATGACGAAAATGTTCAGAAACAACAAAATAAGACAAGAAAGTAAAAATTTAAAATTACAAAAACAATATTTTAAAATTCTAGAAATCGTCCTAAAAATTTAGAATTTAGAAACTGTTTGTCCTAAATGATAAATCATGACAATAATATTACACAATGTTAATGTTTCTGAAGTGATTTTTTCAAAATATAGTGAGCGGCAGAATTATGGAATAATTTTACTAAAACTGAAAACATTTTGTTTTAGCAAAAATGGTCAATTTTCTTTTTAAAAAATATACAAAACACACAATTTTCAACTTAATTTCAAATTTTACACTTTTCGATTTTTGACTAATGACGTTATGGATATTTTTTTAAGGAAACCCCTAATTTTTTAGCCAATTCGATAGATATTCAGATTGTCGAAATGACAATAGCAAAATATTGAATATTACATAAAATTTCGAAAAAAAATCATCCAAAAAGTTAAATGTTATAAATATTATCAACATACAATTTTAAATCAAGTTGAGAATTTTATATTTTTTTAAATTATTGACCTCTTCAATTTTATCGCTCACTGTAACGTAGGTGTTTGTTGCAACACAACTAAAAAAATTACTAAAGTTTATTTTAGTTTTTTTGAACTTTTTTTCACCCTGTACAGTGTTCAAAAATCGCCTTGCATAGCAATACGTATAATATTTGTCAAACGAGTAGTAAAACAAATTTACATAAAAATTAATGGTAAACAACTTTTTGATAACATTCCAGAATATTTTTTTCATACAAAAATTTAGACAACTTTCTACCAAATGTCTAACACAATGAAATTATAGTATTTTTATGAATTCGTAGTTTTTAGAGCAACATGTTAGCAGATAAATTAAATTTGCTTAAATTGTTAAATTATGGCATTTGAATCCCTGAAAAATCAATTGCGAATTCATGAATTAAAAGTAGCAAAACTTAAACTGATTAATTGGAATTCTAAAAAATGACAAAATGTAACAGAATTTTAAAAAATCCCCCAAAGATAAAAAATAATAAAACAACAAACAGAAATATTAGAAAATCAAATAATAAATCATAAATAAAACGGCATTAATGTAAACATTCTGTAATAAATCTTAAATTTGAAACCAAATAATCGCACGTAGCGTATGATTAAAAAATTATGTAAGACCCACCAGAAGGAAAAATTACTCCTAATTAATTTTAAACCAATCAATTTTGATAAAAAATAGTGATAATAATTTTGTTTTTTGTTTTTAAAAGGAAACGCATCATAATATTTAAATATTTTGACAAGTAACTGACATAAATGTGTCGAAATGTTCAACATTATTAAAACGTTTTGTTGCAAAAAAATACTGTTAAAATAAATAATTTTGAAGAAACAAAGAAAAAGAAAAGACAACATTCTAGTCAAAACAAAATTTAAACACGGAAATAATTTAATTAAACTCTTAGAATTATATTAGCCCCATATTCATCAACGTTAATTAACTTAATCGTTTTCTTAAAATCAGTTGTTTTTATTGTCAAATAATGGTTCTAGGAATTTTAATATCTTTTATCATTAAAAAATATTACAAAAATACTGAAATTAATAAAAAAAGTTTTGTTTTAAAAAAATAACGCAAATATTTCAATATAATAAGTACGAGTAGGCACTTACCTTGTTTTTATTAAACTTGAAAAATTTATTTAATCAATAAGTGATAAGTCAAGTCTCCAAAAAATAAACATTTTTGCAAGGCAATACCGAGCTTAAATAATTCAATAATCCCCACCTTTAGAAAATTTTAATAAAATGAAAAAACAAAATCCGTTGATAATTCCCTCTTGGATCACTGTCCACTATCAAAAAAGTGAAAAAAAAAAATGTTCGCAACAGATATCCACCGTTCGAGATTCTTAAGAGCAGAGTCAGCATCAAGCATCGTTATCAGTGCTGGACCTTGGGTCAGAGGGGAACATATAAAAGCATTGTTGGGGGTAAATCGGTCAGTTTCAGTGCGCTATGGCTCGACGAAGCCCCACTAAAGTGGGCCTAGCCCTCGCACTTATCTGTGTTATAACCCACGGACAGGCCGAGGGTAAGTACAAGATTTTCCATATTTTAACCAAGACTTGAATTAATTTGACCTGTGAAAAGAAAGAACTCCTAGGTGACCTTTATTCACTCAACTTTATTAAGCGAGCGTTTATTTCATTATTTCAAGTGAATAATAGTTATATTTAAATTTGTTTATCAAAGCCCTCCATGGGGCTTTTCAACTTTCGTGACCTTCTTATCTTATCAATTTTTTCCAGAGACTTGCCGGACAGGATGTCGCGGAGGTAACCCCAACCCCATCCTTGATTTATTTTTACTAATTGAAAATTTACAGCCCCCCAAACATTCAAATACAAAGAAGGCACCACATACAAGTACAATTTCGACAGCAAAATCGAAGTAAGTCTTTCGAGTGCTGACGGACAAAAGAGCATCACTGAAGTCAAGGCCACAGTATTACTTACCCAACAGCCCCAATGTAACCAGATTTTGCGCCTCCAAAACGTACAAATCATCGGAAACGATGGAAAAGTAATCAATCAAGTTTCCTCCTCCTGAAACTAAACAAATTTGTTGTAGAAACACAGCAATGTTCCAGACATCGACAAACCCATCAGTATCAACTACCATGATGGGCATTTGGAAGACAGTATATGTATCACACCGGGTGATAACCAAAACTCGTTGAATTTGAAACGAGCCATTGCTTCCATCTTCCAAGCCAACTTGAACTCAGGCCACGAAACCGACGTTTTTGGGTTATGTCCCACTGAAGTCACCCATCACAAAGAAGGGAATGTTGTAGTGGTCCAAAAGGCACGTAATTTGAACCGTTGTGCCTACCGTGAGAACATTAAACAAGATTTCATCGCGACTGCTTTCAATCTTAATAGCGAAATCAAATCAAGTCCCATTCTCAACGGTGACTATGATGCCAATCTTAAAATCAAAAATGGTATCTTGGACCAAGCCACCGTCCACGAACACTACCTCTACGTCCCATTTTCGGTTGGGACAAACGGAGCCAAAGCGTCAATTGAAACCAACCTCAAATATGTCGGAACGGCCAAAGACAACTCACAGGTCAAAGGGGGCCATCCAAGATCTATCATTTTCGAGGACCCCCATCCAGTGCATTCCCCCCACACCAACGTCAATAGTATCCTTCAAGCCGTCAAACAAACCGCAAAGACTATCGATATCACCGTCGGCGAACACACAGCTAAAGAGTTCACCAATTTGGTGAAAATCCTTCGAGTGAGTAAAAGAGATGACCTTTTGGCCGTCTACAACCAAGTCCGAGCTGGAGTCGGCTTTCCGGATAAAATCGCCGGAAAGAAAATCTTCCTTGATGCCCTCCTCCGGGCCGGAAACGGCGATAACATCGAAGTGGTCATCGAACTCCTCAAAAACAAGGAATTGACACCAATTGAGCAAAATTTGGTCTATTTGGGGCTGTCTACCGTGAGACACCCCACTGAAAACTCACTCAATTCGGCAGCAGCCCTCTTGGACCAACCCCATCTCCCGCGTAATGCTTATTTAGGAGTTGGGAATCTCGCAGGAAGATTTTGTCGCCAACACCGATGCGAACATGTGGAAGGAGTCAAAAAGTTGACACAGAAATTGGTTCAAAAATTGGGAAAACAGCCGACGAATAGGCAAGATGAGAATGATTTGGTTTATGTATTGAAGGCTTTAGGGAATTTCCATCATTTGTGTGATGAAGTTTTGGAAAAAATCACGAGTTTAGCCCAGAATAAGAAACACCCGAATCGGGTCAGAGTCACGGCTTTGGAGACTTATCTTGCTGATCCTTGCAAGGATAAATTGCGGGATAGTGCCATCAGTATCCTTAAGGACATTCAACAGGATTCTGAAGTCAGGATTAAGGCCTACTTAGCACTTGCCCAATGCCCCAACAGCAAAGTCGCAAGCGCCATTAAGGCTGTTCTGGAGAAGGAACCGAGCTATCAAGGTATGTCCAAAAATTTTAGTCATTATGGATTAAAAAAAATAAATAAATAAAAATAATTCCAAAACTTTCATCTAGACTGATGATTTTTGAGTAAAATAAAAAAAACTATATTTAATCCTCTATGTTAAAATTGAATTTTATCTACTTTTTCTTCATGTTAAAATGAAATTTTATCGTCTAGATGATAAAAAATACATCCATTGTTGTATATCTGCGGTTGTTAGTAGCTAACGATCTTTGACATTAGATTTCATTGTTGAATTTCACTTTGACATTTATAAATACCGACCAAATTGACTACAAAATTAGTGCGGATTGAATAAAATTTTATATTGTACACGACGATAAAATTTTCATTATCTTTTCTCAAAGATAAAATTCAATTTTATCATCTTGTATAATAAATAACTATTGTTGCAGTCTATTTTTTGGTTACTTTTTTTCATTA